AAAACTGATCGTAACTGTAAATAAAATTAGTTCATAGTCCGCTAGTTTCCGCGAAACAATAATGGTCACAAACCTGATTTAATTCATAAACTAGATTTAACATATTTCTGATGTGTAACCTCGGTAAACATGAAACTTCTTCAATCCGCAAAACTTGAATCCACAAACCTTGGTAATACGATGTGTGGTGGCAGACCAGTGTTGCCACTTTTCTTTGACAAAAAAGATCCAAAACAGGGTAAAAAAATATCTAAAAAGATCTAAATTTGCGTGGAAAATATTTAAAAAAAATATCCAAATGAAAAGAGTCACAAATTACAAAACTATTGAAATGACTTACCCTATAGACACATGTCCTCATCTTCACTGATGTCTGCTTCACAAGATCCACAGGATAAACTTAGCTTGGATGATGAAGTTGAAGCTTCAGATCCCAAATTACTCTGGTATGCTTTAGCTGTTCCTATTTCTTTTAATACACAATCAGGGAGCTGATAAGTGGAAACAGCATTTTCCTACTCTCATCAGGCCAAACTTTATTGTCAAGATAGCATTTAAGAGGTCTAATTTTCATCCTGTTTCTTAGGTTAGATTTGATGTAATTCATAGCACTGAAAACTCTTTCTACGTCAGCATTTGAGTGGGGTAGTATCATGGCAGACATGGCACATTCAAAGAGTTTACAGAATGGACTGTTTGATGAGGCATCTTTAAATTGTCTCACTTCACTCCAAAACGCTTCAGTTTCTGTTTTGTTTGTCCATTCAACTAAAGTTTTATTTTGGGTTAACTGATATTCTGCTCCCGCGACACTATTGTCAGTAGCCCCTAAAAATTTTCATAACTTTACAATATTTAGGTATGTCCTTTACTGGCTGAAGTATGTTGCTCACAGAAAAGAGTGAAATATTTTTCAAAAAAACATCTAGATTTCAGGAAGTCTCTGCTTTAGTTGCTTGAACAATGAGATAAGGAAATCTTGACAGCGTTTTCTTAAGTTGTTCTCTTCATTCTCTGTTAACAGTCCTTTTGTTTTTTAAATCATCAATTTTTGATTCAATTTGATATCCAAGGTATGGCTTAGGAGCCAAATAGCTCTCTATAGTGCAAGTGAGCAAATCAACTTTTGAAGTTGGCAACACCAGTCTTTTACCAACTGAGTAAAATAGCAAAGTGAGATCGTCAAGTAATTTAACTTTATCAACATGTTTGGATTCGAACAGTTTATTAACTTTTTGCACTTCCATTAGAATAGGTTGTAAAAAGAGAAGGAATGCCAAATTTTTCTCATCACTGTACATTCCATATAGTATCTCAGCTGTGTGTAGCACTTTTCACTTTGTCTTGTTATTTCAAAGTGTGTCTTTAACTCCAACCATTGGTTCACAATTCTTTCAACAGCTGGTTGTATTGATAACCACCTGGTTTTGCAATCTGACAGAATTTTCAGTGGTGTGGAACCATTATTTAAGGCTGAATACAATGCATTGTATTGCTGTTGTCTGACAAATGATTTTGAAAACCAGTTATGTGTTTCAGCAATAAGGTATTCCAAATTCCTTGGTAAACATTCAGATGAAGCATGTGATAATGCTAGCTGCAATGAATGACACATACATTTTATAAGTATTAACGATGGATAGCTTCCTTCAACTTGGCATAAACGCCATTGTTTATGCCAACCATCACTGAGGCATTATCGGTACCAATTGCAACCAAATTTGTCAAGTCTAACTGTTTGCTGATTAAAAGGTTCTTCAGTTCTTGAACTATACTTTCTGCATCACACTTTTCCAATTGAACTAGTCCAAGATATGTAGAAACTACTTTGTCTGTATTGTTGCTGTAATATATAATACACACACCAAGCACTTTCAGTACCGAAATATCATTGGATTCGTCTAATAATAAACTATATTTATTTGTAGAAATATCACTGATCAAATCTTTTTCGAAGTGAGAAAATAAAGTATTTCTTATATGTGTACACTTGCTGCGATGCATTTTCACATCATCCATAACTTTACTGTCAGAAATTGTGTTTTTAAACAAATCAATCAAATGGTCACAGTTTGAAATTGCACAATGGCAACTTAAAAACATTGCGACCGACCCTTCAACTTTTGATGATTCATTTATCAGTGTAGTTCTGAAAACAGATGTCAGCGGTGTAATATCTTTGAATGGAACTGCAGTTTTATGCTTGTTAGTCTCTGCATGCTTCTTTAAGTCTTGTATTTTCGCTTTAATTTCACACTTGCAGTACTTACGAGCCTTGGTTATATCCCCAGGAACTGCCATCACCCAGTCTTTAATTTTGTCATCATGCAACCACTCTTTCCGAAATTTTTGCTCATACTTTACTTTTGGCATGTTGAAAGGTTTTTTCAAAGTGAAAGCCACACAAGAAGGTGAGCAATTATTTTTTAAAAATCACATGAAAAAGAAACACAGAGTCAGCATCACAGCTATATTTCACAACACAGTGAGGATACGGTTGAAACAAAGTTAGTATGATTTACGCGCGATTTCGATTAATCAGCACCGGGGTTGTCAGATATTTGAGTGTTGACCTTAGTGAGAGTTCAAAGTTTAAGTAATGGCAGTTGCCACAATGTACGTGCCAGACCGAAACAAAAATATTTTAGTAAATATTTTACTCAATAATTATTAAAATGACACTAAAAGAAAAAAAATCTATAAAATATCTAACTCCATATGAAAAGAATCTAGAAAAATATTTAGTATCTAAACGTCAAAAACAGGATCTAAACGCAGTGAAAAAGATCTAAATTTGGATACAAAAGATCCAAAGTGGCAACACTGTGGCAGACAGGACGTTGATGACACACAACTATGTTGGCGTGTGCTCCATGGTACGCTGTTTTTCATTGGTTGGCAGCTGACCTGTCGCAGCTTGCTGTGTTTAAAGGCTCTGCTCGGGTTAAAGCGATGTATCGTACACTGTTTTCCGCATGTTTTGTCTTACCTTGGAAAAAACAAAGATGTTTTCCTAATGATTGTGGTCCGTGTGGTTCTCAAATTTTCTTCGGACGGGCCTCCATTTGTAATAAATCTTGGTCTACTTGAAATGAAGCGTGGTCTGCTTGGAATGAGTCGATGCTACACTTGGAATGAACTTTGACGTAGACCAGCTTTAACATCTAGGGTTGACAACACAAACGCCGCTCAGCTTCTTGGTACATTCTGTCAGTTTATTCTCGTCCATTTATTTCACATATTCAACACATTATTCACATTTATTTCACTCGCGACATTTTCGAACATTAAACATTTGCGCAACATAAAGACGACATCTTCAAATACTACAACCGTCTCCTCTGACTTCTGATGATCGACTGACCACGAGGCTAGCTCGGGCTTTCCCTCGCTTCCTCGACTAGGCACAAATATCTCGTGCTGTCCCTTGTTGCACGGACTTTCTGCTTGCCACTATGTAATCGTGAGGACCATGCAAAGCAGGGTCATTACACCTTACCTATCTGTTTTCTATCAACTGACCGACGCGACGCTTCAGTTTATTAATATCCTACCCCAAACAGTGAAAATCCACAGATCACAAGACAGTCTAATATTTCAGGGGGTGGTAGATAGGCTGCGTGCAGTCGTTGGACCTATGCTGCACTCTCTCGTAAAACGTAGGTGGGTTGGGGTCAGGGCCAATTCTATATGTTTTGGGATCGTTAAAAGCATCAAAAAGCCGGACAACCCCAGTCTTACCACCCTCTAAAATGTTGGACTGTTCTGTGACGTCATCTGGTGGTAGAAATAACCGGAATGTCTCCCAAACTCTCTTCAGTGATTAAATGTAAGGCCGCTTCTTTTTTCTGTAAAATTTGCGATCAAAAGTTCCAGGCTTGGTATTACTGGTGTCTCGCTACCTAGTATCTGTTATTTCGCAGCATATACTCATAGATTGTAAATCTGGTCCTTTGGCTGTTTACTATTTTAACTTGAGCCATAGATAATCTCTGTATAGAGTTATATTCATTTGCATAAGGGCCAACACTTTCATTGAGTTTACTTTAAGCGTTTTTAGGACATTCCAAAATACTATTATGGATATGCAGATAATTGTTCTTATTAAAATCTTTATTAAATGTAGCCCCCCCCCCCCCCCATCCCTACATAGGACTCATTTTCTTCTTCATCTTTTTTGTGTTTGGTTTCGTATGCTCAGATCAGACCATCAGGTGGGTTGCCTCTATAAACTCGCATATCAAAAGCAGGTCCTGCATGGTTCACCATAGCTTGTTATGCACACTTTGCTCTTGAGGCCGGGTGTCTTTTCGAAGTTGTAGGTAGGGTGGGCAGGTCTGCAAAATGTGCTACAGTGTGTGTGGTCCTGTTTGACAGGCACACTGTGGGGACTGTACTAATACTATCTTTATTTTATGCTCACTACTAGAACAACTACTACTACTACTTGGTCTGCCTCGTGTTCTACTTCCGGGCAACTCGTCTGTGTACTCAGGTTTCTTTAAAAATCACTCTGTTAGTAAGATTTAACTTCGCCATGATATTCAACAAGCGATAAACACCCGGTGACACAAAGTGCTACCAGGCGGATAAGGGAAGAAGTCCCAGAAACCCTATTCAATCGTTAGGTTATATTACGGCCGCCGACTACAGCTGGGAGGGGCTTTGAAATAACGAAAAATTGGGACGACAGATAGTAATATTAAACATTGCAGTCGAACAGCCTAAACTGATTAAAACAGATGACAATGGACTATAAAAAGAAGGAACAAACATTCTATCCACACCGCTGTTTGGCTCTGACTGAGGGGAGAGTACTCTATAGAGTTAGGACTTGTACCCAAACACGAATGTGACGAACGACAAATTGTCATAGAGTAGACTGTTATTTCAGTGAAGATTTTACAAACTATTCTAGACTAGACACATTATTAAACATCTTTATATGACGGCGGTGTCCATATTACACACCACTAAAAGATCATCACAGTCCGGTTACAATGTCTTTAATGATAAGACCCAACTTTCCATGTCTTTTGGGAGATCTTAGTAGAAGGTATATTATTAATTATTATTTAGGTACTTCAGTCAAATTTTTAAAATGCCCTCTACACCAATAAAACCAGCACAGTTAGATAGCTGTAAACAATCTCTTTCCAATGGTACCTCATTTAGGCTTCTATGTCACTTCTGAGTTGAGATATGTAGGTTTTTGTGGAGATGAGATGTAAGAAACAGCCGCTAAAACTTGTGACCCAGAAACAAGAAGTTTTTTGACTGCGCAACCTACTGCGCAGTTCTGTATCGGCTTTGTTGACATTGGACTGTCATTGGACAAGATGGCAGGCAGTGAGACTCAGCTCACTCAGCCGCATGCGATTGCCTAAAAAACGTCACTGTAAATCTAAACAGCCAGAGTCGGTAAAAAAAATTTAATATGCAAATGTAAAATTGGACGGAGAATTCAACTGTAACTAGCATTACCACAACTGGTAATGTTTAAGGCCTAAAGCCAACCTCGAATTTACCGCTATTTTTTAATCAAACTGATGACTAACAGAAAAACAGAGGAGTCCGGCTGTCGTAGACATGCGCTGTTAATCGGGTTCCCCCACGCTGTTTTCAGCTATTTATAGCTGGTCCAAATTCCCACCAATGGCAAAATTTCATGAGAGATTTGGACCCATACGGAAACCAGCCGAGATTTCCCGAACAAGTTCTGAACGGTTTCCGGGTAACGGAACTTGCCGAAAAGACCGCAAATTGTCGAAACTGTAGTCCCTATATTATTATTTAAATTATTGCGTTTTTTGGCTCTCCTTTGAATCAACCTCCAAAATGGCGGCATGCCACATTCTGGCCATAAAATATCCGAACGACGGTGTTCGCGTATATCTAAAATACGGACTTTCTGCCAAGGAACAAATCGCGGCAAAACTAGGATTACTTGACAATCAATATCAACATTGCACATGGTAGTAGCAGACGATAAATACCGACAGTTGACATTTTCGAGCGTTTCTGCAGACGATGATACTAGCAGACGATATTAGCGACAGTTGACCAATTTCGAGACATTACAGACGATGAAAGCCGATTAGCAATACTGTGTTCTTCCGAATGGAGGATTTAGCAGCGGTAGATGTCAGACTTGTCGGCATGCGCCAAACGCGATTAAACTCATCGCCGAGCGTGTCCCCCACGTCGCTACGCACGGCGCGGATGGGGGCGCTAAACTAGGTGTCTGGGACTGACGAGTACAGTAATTGGAGGAAGTTGCAGGAAATGCGGTAGCTGCCACTCGTGAGTCCCAGCCATCTAGTTTACCCCCCCATCCGCGCCGCGCAGAAGCAGGTCGGCAAGTAATGTATTGCAGAGACCCTGTCAGAGCATTTGTTTCGTTACCCGGAGCCAGCACATATATTTTTAATAGAACTGACCCGCATTCGGATATTTTTGGATATTTTATGGCAAGAAATTGGCCAATTTAGCTCTCTTTCGAACGCCATCATATTGAAGCCTCCATTTTGGGGGTTGATTTAAAGGAGAGCCCATTTTTTTCTTTTTAACCCACAGACTGCAAACTTACCAAACCCGTTAACTTGTCTACCCTTGCACTTTTCCAGATACCACGCAATTTAGTGCGTACTAAAGATGCCATAGCTTCACAACTATTCAGCATACTAAAAGTAAAGGACCCCTTTCCATACCTTTCAGGCGTATTGGGTATATAGGGCTAGACCTATATTTTATAGACCAAACGGCACTAGATGCTACCATCCATGATGAACTGCATTTCTAATGTCGGACTGTTTGTGTTAGCACTTCGGATGGCTACCATATGCTTTTAATGTGTGTGTATGCTAGATATGCTGAGATAGCTGTCAGTCAATCTTTCCACAAGGGACTGTGATAAACATTCTGTGTGTTTGTCGTTGGCACAGGAGCGGAGCAACTGTGGTGTGACCCATTTGCTATGAAGCTGAAACTAAGATTACCAGATAGCACAGTATGTAACACTTACTTTACTTACTTTACTTTTTCCTTCCACGTATGCCGCTAAGCGTTGTGGGGAGATGCAAGTTCCTGTCATAAGCAAGGCGGGCAGCATCTGATGTTCTGAGGCCATGCTTTTGGCAGGTTTCGGAGACCCCGTCAATCCACCGTTTCCTTGGTCTTCCTCTTGCCTTATATCCTGAGCTTCTTTGATTGAAAATTTGTGATGTTATTTGATCATTTTTCATCCTGGTTAGATGTCCAAACCATTTCATTCTTTGATGTTCTATGTAGTCTAAACATGGTGTAGTTTTGACAGTGTTTCTAATGTCTATATTCTTTATCCTGTCTAGTCTTGTCTTATTCGCTGCTTTTCTTAGACATTTCATTTCACAGGCTTCTATTTTTCTTTCATGGGTCTTGTTGATTGTCCATGTCTGGCACTGGTAGCAGAGTGTTGGAATGAAGATGGTGTTTATCAATTGTCTTTTGGTCTTCATGGTTATATCTGGATGTTTAAGCAGAGGTGATAGTTGGTATGTGACAGCATTTGCTTTCTGTATTCTTGTTTCTATCTCTCTGTCCATTCTTCCATCCTCTGTAAATATACTGCCCAAGTATTTGAACTCTTTGGTTTGCTTGATTTTGGCACTTCCAACATTTATATTCAGTGGCCTGTGTGTTCTGCTGATCTTCATAACTTCTGTTTTTTCTGTACTGATTCTCATATTATGTTGTAAACAGCTGTTGTTGAGAGTAGTCAGATGTTCCTGTAGATCATATTCATTTTGATACAGTATGCTTTGATCATCAGCAAAAAGTAATTCGTTTTTATAGCATACACGTCTGGGTTTGCTTCTACAGTGATCTTATCCATGTATGTTATGAAAAGTAATGGTGACAGTACACATCCTTGTCTGACACCAGTTGTGACTTTGAACCATTCAGAAAGACCACTAGATGTTCTTACTGCACTTTCACTTTTTTCATAGAGGGCTCTGATGTTGTCTAATAATTGACCCTGCACTCCGTAATCGTCAAGAATTCTCCACAGCACATCTCTGTCTACACGGTCGAATGCCTTCTCTTGATCTACAAAGACCACGTTCAGCTCTTTATCGTATTCGAGTGTCTTTTCACAGACTTGTCTCAGTGCAAATATGGCATCAGTGCAACCTCGCCCTTTCCTGAAACCGAATTGTGCTTTACTCAGTAGAGGTTCAACCTTTGCTCTTGTCCTACCTTCTAAGATCTTTGCATACATTTTCCCCACATGACTTAGTAAAGATATTCCTCTATAAGTTCCACATTCTCTCTTGTTTCCTTTTTTCTTCCAGATAGGTACTACAACTGATCTTTGCCAATCCACTGGTACCTTTCTCTCTGCCCATGCTCTATTGAAAATTCTCTCCAGCCAGGTGATCATAGTGTCCCCTCCAGCCTGGATGACTTCTGTTGTTATTCCGTCGATACCAGCTGCTTTGTGTCTTTTACTTGTTTTGATAACTTTCTCTACTTCATCCCGCAGGATATGTGGTTCTAGATGATCTGGAGCCCTTGAATGGAATTCTGCTGTTTCATGTACTCCCGACGGGTTCAAAAGTTCTTTAAAATATTCCTCCCATCTTTTTTTAATTTCTTTTTGGCTGAATAATGGTTTTCCATTTTTATCGTTTATGACTGATGTTGGATTGAAGCTTTCTTCTCTTAATCGCATCGCTTTCACACTCTTATAAAAGTCTCTTGATGATTCTGTACATAGCTGTGTTAGGTGTTCACCATACTTTTTCCATGATTCCTCTTTGGATTTCTTTATTGTTCTCTTGGTGTCTCTTCGAGTTAGTCTGTACCTAATGTAATCCTTTTCGTCTTTTGTTTTTAAACCATATTTGAAACATCTTCTTTTTATTTGACACTGCTTCTTTGACTTCTTCATTCCACCAAGCGGTACCCTTTTTCTTGCCTTTGCCCGTCTTTCTGGTACCACACTTGTCTTTTAATATCTTCGTGATGGTTGATTTATAATAATCCCATTCTTCTTCAATTCTTACTGGTTCCTTGGCAATATCTGCAAAAGCCTTTGTTATTTCCAGTTCAAATTCATGTTTGATATTCTCTTCCTCTAATTTCTTAGTGTTGATGATTTCTTCACGTTTCTGTTTATGTAGACTGTTTCTACTTGAGTTGCATATGTTCATAACTACTGGGCGATGGTCTGAATCCAGTCCCGCATTTGGGACAGCTTTTGAGTCTCTTACCTTCCTCTTCTGCCGTTGTCTGACTAGTATAAAATCAATTTGTGACGCTTGATCTAAGTTGTTCCACTTGTACCACGTTTTAACCTGACTTTGGCGATGTTGGTAGAATGTGTTGGTAATGTAGAGATCTTGTTCAGCACACAAGTTTAGCAGGTGTTCTCCATTTCTATTGCAATCTGTGGTTGTGTCGCTGAATGGGCCAAGGTATCTCTCCCATGGTGATCTTCTTTTACCTACCCTACCATTAAAATCTCCCATTACTATGATGTCCTCTTTCTCTTTAACATTATTGATGGTGTCCGTAAGTCTCTCGTAAAAGTCTTCTTTTTCTTCTTCAGAATAACTATCGTTGCAAGGTGCATATATCTGAATAATCGTTGTAGTTTTACTTCCTTCTGTCAACTTTATTAAAATAATTCTTTCTGATATAAATTCTGTTCCTGTTATTAATTTTGCTGTCTCGGGATGAAGTATAAATCCGACACCATGTTTTGCCCTATCTTTAGTGGGTACTCCGCTCCATAATAAAACATAATTTTCATGTATTTCTTTTGTATTATATCCTTTCTTTCTTGTATCCGCAAGACCCATGACGTGTATATTTTTTCTTTTCATGAAATCCACTATTTGTGGCTCTTTGTTGGCAATACCACATATGTTCCATGTGCCTATGTAAGTCGTTTTCTCTGTCTCGTCGTCCTTTAAACGTTTCCAGTCCATTTTCCGTTTGGGGCTGTCCGTTTATTTATCTCCTTTCTAGTTTTCGTAGCAATAAAAAAATCCACTGCCGGCTTGCTAGGCCAGTCGCAGTTTAAGGGAAAATCTGACCAGATGGACCCCATCCCATCTGACGAGCCAGAGCCTCGTTCGCCTGTGGCCTCACGGCCACAGTTTCCCGGTCTGCACCACTGGGAGGAGAGGTTGACTTATGTGTACTGTGGGTCATCGGCAGGCTACTAATTTTCACTTTTCACCTCTCCTAAGAGAAGCTAGCCGACCCCAACCCTGCTGGATGCAGAGCCAGGCACAGTCCACACCTTGCAGACCGTATGTAACACTGTCAGCTGGAAAGGTGCCATCAATTTGTTTCCTCCTCAGTCACAAATTTTTTTTTTCTTCTTCAGCATTCCGAGCCCTTGAAATTCCTTGCTGCAGATATCACCCGCCTCCATTCATCTCTCTGGTTGGCCTTCTCATTCCAGTTGGTGACACCAAGTGTTTGTAGGTCTGTCTGGATATTATCTCTCCATCATCTTCTTGGTCTGCTGACTATTCATCTCCCTGGTGTATACAGTTTTTACTTCTCTGTCATCTGGCATTCTTTCAATATGCCTCAACCATTTCAGTCTATTACCTCTAATGATGCCAGTGATCGGTGGTGATTTAAACAGATTATGAATTTCATTGTTGCTTCTCACTCTCCATTCACCGCTGTTTGCATCTTTGATGGGTCAAAAGATTGGTCATACAACTCTGTTTTTGAATACCTGTAATAAGGCTTCATCTCTTTTAGTTGTGCTCCGAGTAGTCACTATAATAAATAACGTAAATGTCACACATACTAATTTTCTCCCTCGCATTCTCTAAATAATAATTAATTATCACCATTTTTATTTTCCCCAGGCTTTGTCTATTAAAACTGTCAAGGACATCCCATGCAGGTTTGTAATAAGCTCTTCCAACTAATCATTTCTGCTTTTTTCCCGTGTGGGTTCCTGAGAACCATTCTGGGGAAAATGAGAATAGACCCACTGCATGCCCAAAAGCATGTTGTAAGAGTCGACTAATTGGGAGCTTCCTTCGAAGTCTGAGTTCATCTGCCTGAGAGGCAAGGAACCAACGGTTTGCATGCAAATAACTCAGACCTGTGAAACAGATGTACACATAACAGTTTCTGGAACAGGACCTGAGTCTGGAAGTGGACAAACAACCAGAACTTTTCCGTCGGAGTTTACAGCCGGCGAATGCAAAGGTGAAGAAGATTTCTGCTTTTACAGAAGAAATAGAAATTAATAAAACCTCAGGGATGAGAATCAAAAGGTACAAATTTGGAAACCCTGTTCAGCCTCATAACAGTCAAATCGGGGTCCTTGCCGGTTACACAATAACTTGAAGTCCGGACTGGGCAGGGAATATGTTGAGATTTTGTAATGATAATTGTACTTTGCATAAACCCATAAGTCATGAGTTGTGAGTGAAAATTTCAGAATCTGCCTCTTCTTCAGCATTCCAAGCCCTTGAGGTTCATTGCTGCAGATATCACCCGCCTCCATTCACTTCTCTGGTTGGCTTTATCTTTTCAGTTGGTGACACCAATTGTTTGCAGGTCCGTCTGGATACTATGTCTCCATAGCCTTCTTGATCTACCTCGTGGTCTACGACCATTCATCTCCCTTATGTATACGGTTTTTACTTCTCTGTCATCTGACATTTTTTCAATCTGCCCCAACCATTTCAGTCTATTAGTTTTTATGATGCCAGTGATCAGTGGTGATTTAAACAGATTATGTATTTCATTGCTAAAATTTCAGAACTGGTGTGAAAAATAAGAAGTATTTTGTAAATAAATTGATAATGTTTAAAGTTTCATGGAATGGTAATCGTCTTCTTTGTTCACCAGCTGCCAGCTCTGGCGGAATGTCCTGGGTGTCTGTCTTTTTGACTTTGGCTTTGTGCCTGAGTTTTGCATGTATATCCGTTTCACTGACTTATTTGTGTGCAGTTGGTTGTTCCTTGCTGTTTGGGCACTGCAACTTCAAAGGAAGTCTCCAATTAGTCGACTCCAACAACATGCTTGTTGGGGCGGCAGTGGGTCTATTCTTGTTTTCCCCCACAGTGGGATCCAGAAACCCACACGAGAAGGAATGGTAATATTTACTGCCATCTGTAGCTTAGGGGTGAGAAATGTGGTTTCATAATTATACATTTCCCCTGTTGATTCAGCTGCAGGGATTTTGGCCATTAGTAATTAATGAAAAACTGCTGAATGTAAAATTTCCTGAAAAACCAATAGCCAACCATAAAATGCTCATTTTTTTTTTTTTCAATATATTGAGCATATCTATTGAATCCCACTTGGTCTATAAACATATTGTGCTATCACCATATACACTGCATACTGTAGTTCTAGTTGTGGACTGTTGGTGTTGGCACTTTTGGTGGCAGTCATTCCCATTTAAAGTGCGTGTGTGAGGTATCGGTTTTGCCTGGAATGCATTCTGTTTCCCTTTCCACGTAGGTTAGTGATGGGCAAATTTTGTGGTTTTTCCTGGTGCAGGAATGGAGTGGATATAGGGGTGACCCATTGCAGTGAAGCTGAAACTGCAACAAATTAACTCAGTAAACTTAATTCTTCTTCAGCATTCCAACCTCTTGAGGTTCATTGCTCCACATTTCAACTGCCTCCGTTCATCTCTGCTGTTTGCTTTCTCATTCCAGCTAGTAACTCCAAGTGTCTGTATGTATGTGGGTTATCTATCCACCGTCTTTTGGTCTGTCTTGTGGTCTACTTCCATTGATCTGTTGTGTAGGCACATTCTATGCTCCAAATCTCACATTAGAGGGGTTGGGGGAGGGATGTTGGCTGCACACTTTAACCCTCAACCTGGAGGACCAGGGTGTTTCTAGTTATCTCTTCTATACCCTATGACCTAAACAGCTTGGGTGGCTCTACTGGTAGCTGTGCTACGACTGGCATAGCTCTCAGGGTCTTTGAGACGCACAGACTTCTCCACCACAACAAGGTGAAGACATCTTTGACTTCTACTTTTAAAAAAAACCCATTAAATTGAAAACAAATTTAGACATCTTTTATATTATAAGGGGACCTTGGTAGAGTAGTGGCTGGATGCTAACCTGTCAGCCTGAAGGCTTGTATTCGAATCTGTATCGAGTCAGATTTTCTGTTCTAAATCGACCTTGGCTCCCAGGCTTAACCACCCTAAAACGGGTATCAGATAATGAATATCTTGAGAAGTAATGACAGCCAGCATATTGTTGACCATATAACCCACTGAGTGATGATTGATGTGCGCAAATGTCAGTCTTGTATCATTCACCTGATGCGTCACTGATGTGAAAAAAGGGTCTTTTACTGACTTTATATTTGAATGTGTTTTTCCAGCTGCCTTGAAACGTATTGATAAAGTGCTGATTGCCAACAGAGGAGAGATTGCTTGTCGTGTGATTCGCACAGCCAAGAAAATGGGCATACAGAGTGTAGCCGTGTTTAGTGAAGCAGATAGGCATTCAATGCACGTAGCAATGGTAGGTTTAGGAGTGTTGTGAAATTGTTGAAGTGTCAGGAAAAACAGTTTGTGAACATTTTGTTGGAATACCCTTTTGTTTAGATGTTTGACATTTTTAAGTGGTAACGTTGGGGGGTATTTCATTTCATATTATAGCCTTTATGTTCATATTTATCCCTTCTTATGTACTTCTTGATTTCATTTTGACCATGGTTTTGTTTATTAGCTCTGTTGTCTTGCTCTTTGAGTTTTCTGTTCACAGTTTGTGCTGTATTTAGTGCTCCGTTTATAAATACTTTGGTCAAAACGTTCTGTTGTGTTTGTGTCCATCTTTTCCATTCTAGTCACATTTTGTGGTGTATTTAGCTTTTCTTGACATTTTTAGGCCTTGTTACAAATTTTTTAGGGAGTCGCCATAGCGTAGCGGCTAGACGCTTGCGTGTGGATCGGAAGGTCATAGGTTCGCTCCCTGGCAGAGACGGACTTTTTTTCAAAAATGGACTTGACTCCCAGGTCGACCCAGCCTTGAGTGTGTACGGGGTGCAGTCACATGAAGTAAAGGCGGCCAGCGTTATGCTGACCACATCACCCATCTTGTGCCGATTGGTCTATACAAAATATAGGTCTAGCCGTAAATGCCCTGTACGCCCAAAGGCTTTACCTTTTTGTTTACTACATATTTTTGAGAACAGAGTCTTACAACACAATCAGACCCAAGCAGCAGGCAATTCTCTTTCATTAATTTAAGTGAAAAAGTAGTCAAGGACCATTGTAACACAAGTGGCGGATTGGGCATATCATGCTAGACCCATATTATTTATAGACCAGTTGGTACTTGTTGGGTGATATGGTCAGCATCATCATTTCAGTCACCTTTGCTATCCGGGTCTTTACCTGGTACCCGTTTTTAGACTGGGTCAGTTTACAATAATTATTAGATAATCAGCGTCTGATTCATCATTAGCATTGTCCTGTGATGCCATTAGATGTCACAGTGGGCTTTTCTTCTTCGCATTCAGGTGGAAAGTTCTGGTTGTTTGTCCACCTCTGGACTTTAGTCTTGTTCCAGAATCTGAGTGTTGCATGCACATCCATTATACAGATCTGCCTTTTCTTTTTTGTATGCAGACTGTTGGTTCCTTGCCTCTCAGGCAGATGTACTTTGACTTCGAACGATGCCGCCAATTATTTGACTCCTACGACTATGCTTGTTTGGGAGGCAGTGGGTCTGTTCTTGTTTTCCCCACAGTGGGGCCCCAGAACTCACACAAGGAATCATAGGGCTTGCAATCTATTCATCCATTCCATTATATCCTGTGCAATCTCTTCAATATCATGGATGGAATCCAGTCTAGAATCTTAGGCCTCTCTCAACCACATTCATTTTAGGGTTTCTTTTGGGCATCATTTCCCTAAACCCTCTATTTCCCATTTTAATGCCTGTTCGGTGATTCTCTGCTAGTTTCTACTCAGGATGTGTCCAGTATAACGCTCTCTTCTTCTCATCTTATAGTTGTTGTTACCAGTGGTTACCCAGATGCTTGTCTGATTTCTTCATCCCTCTTGAATTCATCCCATAGCATCTGATTAACTATTTGCAAATTATGTTCTGGATCATCAGGCTGACGAAGCTTACCACATAGGACCACCCGCAGCCTCTGAGAGCTACCTGAAACAAGACAAGATTATGGATGTTGCCAGGTTGTCTGGAGCTCAAGTAAGTATGAACATAACACTGGAGTTACATCAACTCAGGTTCCAGACTGATTGCCATTGTCAAATAGCTGGTTATTTACACCAGTGTTCTTCAACTTATTTACACCCTCGGACGGGCAAAGCAGGTGAAGTTATTTCGCAGACCGCCTGACATCATCATCATGTGCCCTGCCAACTGGCGTAGGCAATCATGCGTCCCCCACAGATCACGATCCCTAGTTGCCTGGAACAGCTCTCTTGATGATATCCCTCCATGCTATCGTTTCAGCCCATCCAGCATCATCTCTCTTGGTCTGCCTCTACCCCCTTTTCCACTGATCTTTTCAGTTGTCACGATGCTCTCCAATGTCTCTCTTCTCATTATGTGGCCAAAGGACAGTGTTTATCTCTTTCTTATTGTTGTATATTGAGATTTACTTTCATTAACCTGACAACGAGAAATAAATGTAGAAAGCAATTCATTTGTTTAATGTGATGTCATACAAATTACAGTTTTTTTGGGTCAGCTAATGCAAAAACTGCTGCTGCTTAGAGGTTAGAAAATCAGATGTATGTGGCTGGAGCAATGCTACTGATAGGCAAAGCGCTGCAATAACATCCCTTTGATTTAATTGTTTGGTTTTATTACTGATTTGGTGGAGACAGTCTTTCCACATAAGATCGGCAGAATCATTTAGCAGGTCCTTTACAGAATGTCTGTCTTTCTCTAGTCAATTCTTCAGCCCTGTGTGCTTTTATTGCAAATTCATCTTCATTATCCTGTATCCATTTTCACTGAGGTCCGCCTCTGCCTCATTTTCTAGAAACTGTACACTCTTTCACCATTCTTTTCAGGCCAGCATGAGGTTTAACAGCTTTAAAAACACTTCTGCACAGTGGGTCACTTCCATCATGGCCCACCAGAAAGCTTTTGCTCCCTTGCCAATTCCCTGCATTATGTCTTCTCATCCTCTTCTGCTGTTACATATTCTTCCTCCTCCTTCTTTTCCTCCTGCATTGTCTGTTACATTCACATGTAAAAATAACTTTATGTGATGGTCTCCCAACTCGGGGGCTGAGTGGTCTCGAGGTATGGCATCGGCTTCGGGTGCTGGAGGTCCTGGGTTCAAACCCCCGTGAAGGCTGGGATTTTTTAATGTGGACTTCTAGTAATTTCCCCTGGTCTCTGGGTAGTAGGACTGGACGCCTGTGTGTAATGTTGTGCAAGTAAAAAAAATCCCTTGGCAGTTGGAAATGTAAAAAGAGTAGCTAACGGCGCTACCTGAGCAAAATCTGGAGTTAAACATCTACCCAAAGTATTTCAGGATCCTCGCCGGTGCAATGGAGTTTGTGCACTGCGCTGAGATTCTTCAGACTTAGGCTTGAGTTAGAAGAAGAACAGAGCATTTATGGGTTGCACCCATGTGCCATGATGTTGATCTGATGAATAAATAAACAAGCAAACAAACTTTATGTGAGATTAAAAAACAGCACAATTTTCATCTGTTATTAGCTAGACAAAGCCATATATCCTACAGCATACTTTTTCATTGGTGTTTAATATCAGAGCTTCAATGTAATGAAACACAACTATAATACTGATGAAGGTGAAGAGGGCTACAAACTAAATTCATGAATTGTAAAATAACATGTTGCAGATAAATGGGAGAGTGTACCATACTGACTGTTATTTAAAAAAAAAAGTAAAGATCCCTTTTCACGCCTTTAGGCGCATCGGGCATATGAGAAGAAAACCCGTATTTTTTACAGACCAGTCGGCACTAGGTGGGTAATGTGGTCAGCATTATGCCGGTCGTCTTTACTTCCCCAGGACATACATCCTGGTACCCATTTTAGGCTGGGTCGACCTGCAGCTTCCCATACCATGAAACAAATCCACGCAGCCAGCAGTGGGTTTCGATTGCTGTAGGTTGGAATTACGAGCCAGACCCGCAACACCTAAGCCATAGACGCGCATGACTATTATTAGTTTGTTTATTTTTTTTTTTTTTTTTATATTCTAGGCTATACATCCTGGATACGGATTCCTTTCTGAGAATGTAGAGTTTGCTGAGATGTGTGAGAAAGAAAACATCATCTTTGTAGGTCCTCCTGCTTCAGCAATTAGAGATATGGGCATTAAAAGGTCAGTAAACAGATACATAGGAGGACATAGATTAACTCTTTCAGCACTATGCAACGCCTGAATATTGATGTTTCTACCACTCAATTTCTCTCCATAGCATACTGTGCCCTCTTATTAATGTAATGTTTAGTCAAGACACACAAATAAAATCTGGCTACTGTTGCAAAATAGGTGATTGTTAGACTAATAAATAAGTGTCCAGGAATTCATGATAATTTGAGGCCCACTTGATTCAATTACTAATAAGACTATTGAAACGTCATTAATATACTTTAAAATACATGTCATACAACAACAATATGAGGATTAAGGAAATGTCAATAGTCTCTCATTGCTCTCAAGCACAACATAGAGCTTCGGTGGCTACGTGTCTAATGATAATGTAGCTGTACAAACCACGCTCCCATTCTAAATATGGGAGTCCACAAGTAAGACCATAGTCTTAGTCTTTCCTCTTGAGCCTAAGGCGGCGCATAGGGCAGAGGTCATAGCTCTTCATGTCTGGCGGTTTGTTGCTACTTGATTTAGGTCTTGGATATTTATTAGGCCTATAGTTGAGCCTTCCCTGATAACAGTTCTCCGTAGAGTCTCTCTTGGTCTTCACGGTTTTTGTTTCCCTTCCGGTTTCCATATGAGGGCTTGAAGGAGGAGTCTTGCCTGATCAATTCTGAGTGTATGGCCAATGTAATTGCAGTGGCACTTTCTTATAAAATTTGATTCATTTTCTTGATTGGTCTCTTGTCTTATTTGTGTATTGGATCTGAAATATGTCCAGTGGAAATTCAGTATTCTTCTAAGATATCTGTTCTCAAAATTGTAAAAAAAATTTTATCACCAGCTACTGTTGCTTTCCAAACTCTCGCATCCATAAGTCATTACTGAAATCAAACAAGAGTTGAAGATCTTAAGTTTCATGTGTTTGCTGAGTGTCTTTGAAAATTACGCAATCTTTTCACTGTTGTGATGGGGATTTGTTTTGCCAGATTTCATCAAACAGATCTAGCAAACACTGCAAGGTATTCTCATCTGCTGCTTTAAGCATTTTTCCTGAGACGTTATCATCACCAACAGCTTTGTTGCTTCTCAGTTTTTTAATTGCTAATTTCTTAACTTCCATTGTGAATGTCTCACAGGAGGCATCTAGTAGAAGCATGGTAATTTCTTCAGCCAGGTTGGGAACAGTGTCAGGCTTTGATCTATTTAATGTTTCTTTTAAATGTTCTGCCCAACATTGTTTTTGGTGGTGTTCAGATAACTGTAGTCTACCTTGTTTGTCTTTGATGGATGTATTCGATGTAGGTGTATGATTACATAGTTTTTTCTTGATATGGAATAAAGCTTTGTTGTTTCCAGTTTTGGCATCTGTTTCAGCATCAGAGGCTAGTCTGTGAATATAGTTGTGTTTATCTTTTCATGCTCTTGACTTCACCTCTTTATCCAAATGATGTATTTTTGTTTGTGGGTTTCATACGAGAATGTGTCTTTTGCAGAAAGAAGCGTTCATTTTGCTTGTTTTCTTGTATATTTGTCCAGGTGTGATGGAGACACCAGGATGCTAAAACGAGGAGACAACCCTATGAGCGAAAAATTCTAAAATATATCTATGGGGCGACTAAAAAGAAGCAGTTTCATCAACCAGGCCAAACGGCTCTGCAGACAAACCACTGATCTGCTGGCACTTATAGCCCTTAAATGCTGTTCCAGAGCAGACACCCTGGGGAGAGCAGACTATTGCTCTAGAATACACACAGGGATAATAAAGTTGTGAATCTGTTCTTTTAAATGACTGCTGCGAGAGTTCGAATCAACAAAGCAATGCATTCTGCAATGCTCTCGGTAAAGGGGCTGGCCAGTACATAGAGGGAGAGTCAAGCCCTTTGAAATAACACCCAGTGCAATGACATCAGTCTTCTCACCCTCACCATTTAACAGATCATTGACTCATGAAGATACAATTAATTTTGCAGCACGTCAAAGCACATCATGGCAGCTGCGGGGGTGCCTGTCATTGAAGGTTACCATGGAGCAGACCAGTCTGTGGAGCGGCTGAGACAAGAGGCTTCTAAGATTGGGTATCCTGTTATGATCAAGGCTGTCAGAGGAGGAGGCGGAAAGGTGAGGAAAGTGATACTTTGGGGAATGACCATTTTAACTTCTTTTTCTTTGTCTTATTATCTTCTGCTGCTGCTGCTTCTTCCTCCTCCTTCTTTTTTCCCTTTTCTTCTTTGTTATTTTCTTCTCCTCTTCTCCTTCTTCTTCTTCTCTTTTCTTCTTCTTCTTCTTCTTTGTATTCTTATCTTCTGCTTCTTCTTCTTATACTTCGTCTTTTTATCCTTCTTCCTCCTCCTCTATCTTCTTCCTTCCTCTTCTTCTTTTTTCTGTGTTTACCTTTGAACGCGGTGGTTAACACATAATCTTCCGGTTTACAGCTAGGCTGCTGAATTTGTACCATTTAACCCAGCTTGTCTGATTCCAGCAAACCCCTATTTAGTTGTCTTTTACAGCATCCTTAGTAACAGGCAGTGGGTATGTTTTTTTCTTTCCACCCTATTCGCCATGAGGCCCCGAAACCCACACAGTGAGAATGATCATTTTAATGTATGTTTTTTCTTCTAAGAGAGGTCTTTATAACATACTCTAACAGGTGGGCAGAGCAAGACTCTTCTGATGCTTTGTTTCAAATGTATTCCTGTTACCTTTTCTTTTGGAGTATACAGTTGAGAAAGAAAGAAAAAATAGAACAAAAGAAGGAAGGAAAGAGAGAAAGAAAGAAAGAAAAAGACTGAAAGATGAAGAAAGAAAGAAAAAAACTTGAAGAAAGAAAGAAAAAACTTGAAGAAAGAAAGAAAGAAGAAAGAAAGAAAAAGACAAAGAAAGAAACAGAAAGAAAGACTGACCTTGGATTCTCTACAAACTTTTCCAGCAGCACTCACCTGATCTCTAAATGATTTCTGAACTTTAACCTTTAACAGTTTGGACAGAGAATTAATTATCTGGTTTATTTATTTATTGTCCAGGATTCCTAACCAAATGGAAAAACATTTAACATGAATTTTTGTTTTCCTTCCCTACTTACAGGGTATGCGAATAGCAATGTCAGAGTCAGAATTCGACACTCAGTTGCAGTCAGCCAAAACTGAGGCACTGAAATCATTTGGGGATCAGGTGATGTTGCTGGAAAAGTTTGTGGAGAATCCAAGGTCAGTTCTTCTTCTTCTTGGTCTTCTTCTTCTGAATATTTCTTTCTTTCTTTCTTTCTTTCTTTCTTTCTTTCTTTCTTTCTTTCTTTCTTTCTTTCTTTCTTTCTTTCTTTCTTTCTTTCTTTCTTTCTTTCTTTCTTTCTTTCTTTCTTTCTTTCTTTCTTTCTTTCTTTCTTTCTTTCTTTCTTTCTTTCTTTCTTTCTTTTTTTCTTTCTTTCTTTCTTCTTCTTCTTCTTCTTCTTCTTCTTTTTATTTCTTCTTCTTCTACTTCTTCTTTTTCTGCATTCTCCTTAAAAAGGCATTTGACATGTTTTGATGTGACTTATTTCTAGGCTGCAGTATCTTGCCTCTAACCCAACGCATCTCATTTTCCACAAACTCCTTAATGAATCGCTATATACAACAAACTTGTCAAGAGACATTGGGTATAATCCCCCATTTTCCCCATCCCTAGTAAGGGCCGGGAACCCACAGAATGAAACAAGCTCAGTAAATATTTATAATGATTGTGTGAAAACTGTTGTGATTTGTTGACAACTTGCAAGAGAGTAAGAGGTAGACAAGTGTTTCAAGTGGGAAAACCACATCAAGAGATGGACGAATAGCAGTTTGAGAAAGTGTACAAAGACAAGAGACAGAGTGTGTTGGAGATCCATTGCAGCTCACCTTCATTGTGGAGACGGCACCAGAATGTTTGGTTGTAAAGAGAAATTAAATTGAAAGCCTAGTGACAACCGGCAAACTCATGGGCAAGAGGGAGACTAAGAGATAGATACCTGTGTAGCTTGACCACCGGGTTTGTTTGAACAAGAACACTGATCTAATCTACGACTCTGGTGATCATATGATAAACATATGCTTATATTCTTCTTCTTTCGTTCGCAAGAAATAAATTATCTATATCTGCAAAGCTGTCTCTAGTATGAATTTCACTGTCTTTTGTAATTCACTAAGCGGCCCGTAAAGTTTGACTTCCACAAGTGTCTCTTTTGGCCAAAGGTTTTGCCTGAAAGCGCTGAATCTGGGACAGTCTTGAAGGACGTGATCTGTTGTTTCAGGTGCCAGTCCACAAGTACACATGGCTGATTGGCCAATCTTAAATTTGTTGTACATGTGGGCGCGAAGTCGATTGTGCCCTGTTCTAAGGCGAAGGATAATGACTTGCTCTGGTCTGTCCATAATATGGTAATCATCTTGTGCCAGTTTCAGTGGCATTCTGATTGATTTGATCATTCTCTTCTTCTGTTGATAAGAGACTGGTATGTTAGGTTGTTCTTCAGTTGCACCTTCCTTAGCTAGTTGATCAGCTTTTTCGTTTCCGGGAACTCCACAGTGGGAAGGTATCCACTGCATTACTAATTTACAGCGGTTGCCTAGTTCGGATAATAGTGACCGTATGCTTGGTAATTTTCCAGACTGGAGTGACTGAAGTACTGCTTTTGCATCTGTCAGGAATACCACTGGTTGTGAAAAATACCCTGTATTTAGTAGTTTCTCTCTACCGCTATCTTGATGGCTTGAACTTCTGCATCATAGTTGTGACAGTGCTTTCCTGTTGGTAATTTGGCTGTATCCCTGGTATTATTAGGATACTCAATGTACACTCCCGCACCTCCGTTTCTGACTGCGCTTTCTGCTGACCCATCTGTGTAAACACGGACCCAAAGGTTCTGCGGGTATTCATCATCAAGTAGACTGAGGGTGGCTGTTTTGCGCTGCACACTGTTTTGTTCTTCCTTGTCAAATACCCCTTTCACTTCAGTCTTGATGTGTATTGGAAACTTATACTCCTCTCTCCAGGGGGTCCGTTCTGGGACAGCATTTAAAGATCTATCAGTTGCAGGTAAATCAGTTGTTTGTCTGCCGAGCCGTTTTGCCTGGTGGATAAAACTACTTCTCTTTAGTCGTCCCAAAGCTAAATTTTTGAATCTTTCATTCATAGGGTGACTGGGCATACTAAGAAACTTTTCTGCTTGTAAAAGCATCTTGGTGTCACTGCGTTCACTCAGTGCTTGGGTCATCCCCATTTTCTCCATCACAGCTATAGGTGTTGATTTCATACTGCCTGTGGTAACTCTGAGTGCTTGATTTTGCACTTTGTCTAATTCTTGCAATGTAGTTTTTGATGCCGAACTCCATGCTGTTGATCCGTATTCAAGATGTGGTCGAACACTTTGTTGGTAAACTTTTCTAAGTATTTTCCCGCTAGCACCCCATGTGGTTCCACTTAGTTTTCTCAGAATGGCTACCCTCCTTCTGGCTTTGGTTGCTGCCTTGTTGATGTGTTTTCTCCATGTTAATCTATCATCAAACGTTACGCCGAGGTATGTGGGCTCCTTATCCTCTCTCAGGGGTACTCCATTTATGTGCATGACACCTGATTTTTGTTTAGGAGAAAGGGTAAATAGGGTGGTGCTGCATTTGTCTATGTTGATGCTGACACACCATTTGTCGGCCCAATCAGCCATTGCATCTATGGCTCTTTGTAGCAATTTGGTGGCCACTGTCGCATTTTCATTTGTACACCAGAGTACCAAGTCATCAGCATACATTGCAGCTTTAATTCCATGGGGTAGTTCAGAAAGCAGGTCGTTGATATAGACTAGGAAGAGTGTGGGGGACAGGACACCTCCTTGTGGAACGCCATGGCGCGGCAAAACTTTCTTACTCTTAAGTCCATCTATCTGTACTCGGGATCTTCTGTTATACAAGTATGCTTTCACCCATTTGTACATACTCCCATTCACCCTGCAGTCTCTCAGTTTCTTCAGTAGACCTTCTTTCCAGACCTTGTCAAAAGCTTTCTTCAGATCTATCCATGCCGTTAGCACTAGCTTCTTTTCCTGGAAGGCATCCTCAATTTCTTGTGAAAGGTAAGTTGTCTGGTCTTCTGTGGAGTAGCACTGTCTAAATCCTGCCTGCTGCGGCGTGAAAATATTTTCACTTTCCAAGTACCATTGGAGTCTAAGGTTGACAATACGTTCCATTGTTTTACAGAGGCAGCTGGTAAGACTGATCGGTCTATAGCTGGAGGCATCAGAACTGTCCTTTCCTGGTTTAAGCAGAGGTATTGTGATTGCTTCTCTCCATATTTGAGGAACTTTGCCGCTGGTCCAACAATGATTAAAGATCTGTAGCAGCTTTATTTTGGCAGTTGTTCCAAGGTTCTTGATCATTTCGTTGGTGATTCCATCAGTTCCAGGTGATTTTCCCATTCTCAGCTTTGATATTGCTAACTCTAACTTGCTGGATGTAAATGCTGCCACCAGTGCCTCAGGAATTATTTCTTTTTGTCTTGTATGTTTGTTTTCTTGAACCTCTCGCTGTTTCTCTGGGCTGACATTAATGTTGCTGTCTTCTGCAAAGGAATCTGCAAAGTGGTCAGCTGCCTGTTTTCTTGTTAGGATGGCTCCCTCTTTGCATAGTGCAATATTACCATTTCTTCCTGTATTCTCATCATTAATTTGCTTAATTAACCTCCACAACTTCCTTGTGTCTCTTTCGAAGTTTAGAGACTTTGTCTTTTCCTGCCAGCTTCTCCGTCTAGCCTGCAGTTTGGCTCTTTGAAATTTGGCCTTTGAATGTTGGTAGTTGTTAAACTGCTCTTGACAAGGTCTGGTCTCAGCTTGTTTTCTTTCTGTTTCCATATTGTTGTGCAGTTGCTCCAGATCGCAATTCCAGTAAGGTTTGTATTGTTTACGCGCACCTCTTGGAACTGCTTCTAGGGCTGCCTGCAGTGTGTGTTTGCTCAACTCTTGGACTACTTTTTCTACGTCGTTATCTGTGTTCAGATTTTCCAGCAGAACATTTGTGCGAAGCTGATACAACTTCCAGTCTGCCTTCTTAAAATTCCACCTTGGCAGTGTGCTGCTCTCTCTTACAGACTGGCTTTCGATAGTTAGAAAGACTGGCCGGTGGTCACTGCCTCCTAGTTGCTTCCCAACAGTTCTGGTAACATTCATTTCCAAGTCTGCTGAGTGGAAGGCTAGGTCTGGTGTCGAGGTGGTATGCCATGCTCTAGAGTAGAAGGTTGGTGGGTCGGTTGGCTTATTAACGAGGATGAACCTATTCTCATCCTGCTAGTCCTCTAGTTTCTCTCCTCTCTGGTCTAAATGATCATAGCCCCAACTTTGCGAATGGCTATTAAAATCCCCACAAATGATCATTTTTTCATTTATTGGTAATGTATCCAGTGCCTGAGGGCGGTCGCTCGGACAGTAATAGTTGGTCAGATGTAAATCTGTATTTTCTAACTTGAGCTCAAGAGTTTGATACTCAGCACCTTCCATGTATGTTTCGATCCGGCCCGCAAGGATGTTATTTTTGACCAGGGTAAGAATTCCACCTTTTCTCCTGTCTTTGCGGTCATATCGGAAACACTGGTAGCCTCTGATCTTAAAGGCCATATCTTGTTTGAGATACGTCTCTTGTAGGCAGCATACATGTATATTCTCTTCGTTCAAGACGTTTTCTAATTCTAATTTCTTAGTATTTACTCCCTCCGCGTTCCAGTGCATTATTTTAAGGCTAGCTGTATTTTCTACTTTTCTGGTTCTACGGGGCATTAGGGGGAGGCTTCGAGTATTTGAAGCTGGACTCTTTCTTCTTGTCGTAGGCCGGTAAATCGAACCACGTGTACGTGAGTGGGTCACATGGTGAAAATCAAACTTATTTGCAGATATAGAAATATTCCCGGTTGCGTTTGTGCGTGGCATCCTGATTGCTGTGGTGCGCCTCCTGGCTGGTTGCCTCCGACTTCAGCACCTTGTTTTGCTAGAGTAGACTGGGGTCTTACCCGTGGACTCCCATGTTTATAATGGGAGCGTGGCTCCTACGCGGTTACATTATCGGAATTAGGACACGGCCGCCGCCGTGGCTATTTTGTGGAAATAATTCCGTTATAACACCCCTAAACCACATAATACTTGTATCCACAAACAAGAGAATATCCATCGTCAATGAATTAGTAATAATCGCACTCTGTTATCAAAAGAAAAACACCGATTAAGTGAAAATTGTAGAATAAAATCGCGTGTCGCCGCAAACACGTCTTCACGCTGCCATTAATAAACCGGAAGTCCATATATATGCTTATATGTAAGGCACCTTCTGATTAAAGTTTACCTCAGGAATATTTGTTTGTATTTGTTATCCCAGTGGGTATTGCATTTTTACAGGCATGTTGAGGTGCAGGTTTTTGGGGACCAACATGGAAACTATGTCTATCTGTTTGAGAGAGACTGCAGTGTCCAGAGGAGGCATCAGAAAATTATAGAAGAGGCACCTGCTGTACGTTATTTTATGGTTTCGTTTAATTTAACCATTTTCCTAGTTTTTAATGTAAATAAAAAGTAAAAAGACACACTTTAACCCTTTGATATGTATTAGGCATATGACATTACTATCATTTTTTGGGCCTTGTGGTTTAGATGCCAGTGAATTTGGCTGCTGAAATAGTAGTCCAGGTTCAGTCAGATTAAGATGTGACAGGATTATTTCCTGGTTAGTATGCATCTGGAAACAACCCAGTTACTTAAAATGGGCACCAGATAATTTCCCGAATCTTCTGTGAATTTGTGAAGGAAGGATTATGAGAAAATAAACTGGCCACACTGTCTCATTAGTTATTGCCTAGAATGTGCTCAGGCCAGACATTTCTTACTCAAGCAGCAGTATTTGCTATAGTTGATGTCAAATTTTCCCATAAGCCTCAGTGATAGAGGTAACAGGGTTACAGCATGAGTCACCACATACATTGTTGTTGCCATTGTTTTTTTTTTTTTTAAAGTAATTTTTAATTTTCTTTTTACCTTTACTGAATTTTAATAGATCAGCATACATTCAATGGGTAAAGTGGTCAGGATCCATAGATATTCACTCATACCCATTTTAGGATGGATCAGATTGTAGCCCACATCACTTTTTACCTCAATAGGAATTTCTTATTGTACTATCTTATTAAGCATTAATTACGTCAGTTCAGAAGATGATTGGGAATAGTTGACCTTATGGAGAAACTGGATCTCGGACCACAAGTTAGTCATAGATTTGCACTCACCAGCGAGTGATGGCATCATCTTTTCTTATTCTTCTGCTGCCCTTTAATCCCCTTTGTACAGGCTTGTAAATCCTCTTATACCTAGTCATCTTATCCTTTGCCAGCGATTGCATCTCACTCCCTGTCCTCATCATACTCATTTCTATCACGTTGTTGTGCGTCTTTTTTTTTTCTTTTCTTTTTTAAATTCAATTCCTTTTGTTTTGTTTTGCCTATTGGGTTCCAGTGCAAGGGCATGCTAGTTATGCTATTGTCAAGCTTTCTCAGTGTTGTTCTGCCCAGTGTCATTTAATCTCTGTCCAAACACCAATGTCTTTCCCCTTATATCTTGGTTCACTGGAATTTTTTTAGTTCTCCCCCAAAACTCAACGTTAGTGATTCTGTTATTCCATTTTATTCTCTCTTTTCTGCTCAGGCACCAGTTAATGCAAGTTTGTAGTTTAATAATATAAGTAACGTTGGAACTATTCATGAAGTCAGGCCCAGGCTCCACCCATTTACACACCAGGTCACTTTTTATTGGTGCCTGGTCAAGCTCGTGAATTTTGCTCAAGGTTACACGGGTGTCCCGGTGTACTGTTTGCTCGAAAAGCTTTCTGTGTTGTCTTTTATTTACGTTTTAATTCTGGGAAATAGAATGAGTTGGCCGTAAGCTACAGCACTCTCGTAGGGGAGCATGTGTTAGGGCCAGTTCTGCATGTTTTGGGACTGTTAAAAGCGCTGAAATCCTGAAATAGACAACACATGATATCACCGGCCGGTGAAAAGAACGCAGAAAGCTTTTTGAACATAAAAGTACACCCTAACACCCCTGTAACCTTCAGCAAAGTTGATGAGTCTAACTAAGTATGAATGAAAAGTTACCTAGTGTGTAAAGAGATGGAGCTGGGCCCAGAAATTTGAGTTGTACCAGAGCATTCATTTGAAACCCATTCCAGTGGCTATATTGCAGAAGCATGAAAAAAACATTAAGAAGTGTGGCAGAACTAAACTTAATAATTCATTCTAAATCACTTTTACACCATGGGTTGGTCAGAAAAAGTCGCGCAAGTCATTCAGGCAAACATCCTATTACTTAGGTAGGCAACAAATGTCGTCCACAAAAAGGGATTGTGGCTGCTCACTGAACCAGGTGTTTACTGAATCCCTCCTTTTGGCAGTAAACCAACATTCGGGGTACTCATTATAAACACACCGTCCAATACTTACACCCTCTGTATAATTGTTTAAGTCACTGTCTATACTATTGCATCAGTTTTTGTTGAACCACAAGGAACATTAATAATATATTTGTCCATATGGTATGTTTTAGCCTGGACTTACTGAGGTTGTACGGAAGCAGATTGGTGAGGCAGCAGTGAGAGCAGCTAAAGCAGTGGATTATGTTGGAGCAGGTAAGTACACGGCAGGCCATGAAAGGGATCTTGCTGCTCGGGCAAGACATTATCGCTACAGTACTACACGGGCATTGTGCCATGGGTGAGCAGGCCTTGCCAGCCACACTCACTACTGCCATGGGCTGTGATTCCCATCTCTCCCTATAGCAAAAGAACTTTTTCGGCCCGCATCGGCCTCATCAGTCATCTTCATATTCATACTTGATGAAAAAGAGTGGTCATCATCATCATCTTGATGGACAACCCACTCACACACATAATAAAATATAACACTGATACCTGGAAAGGAGAAAAGGTGCCAACATAAGTAGAGGAGTAATCTGAGTTTCTCTAATTAATCTGGTAATCTGGTAATCCTAGTTTCAGCTTCATAGCAAACGGGTCACCCCACAGATGCTCCGCTCCTGTGCCAACGAAAAACAAACGCAGCTCACAGTGTCACGCCATGCACTCAACTCAGAAGCTGGGCGACGAAACTACATCCTTCCAGTCTACAAATGGAGCAAAAATGCAACGGCCACCTTCTGGCAAAAAAACAAAAAAAACATTTGCCACGGCTTTAAAAAAAAAATAATATTAAATTTTTTTAAAAAATGTGGCCGTGCCAAGCGTCCATTTTGACCGGAAGAATTATATGAGGGTTAATAAACGGTCACCCCAGCAGTACCCTCATTATTAGCTGGGGAAGGGACTTAGGACGTTACATCCACCAGCAGGCATCGCCCCTGTTTCCTCACAGCTCTTGGTTTTAGGTCAGTGATCTCCAACCTTTTTCAGGTTGCCCCTCCCCCTTCCCGAGTTATATAATTCTTTACGTCCTTTTTAGGATGAAGTTTTTTGTTATTTGAAGCCTCACCCTGGCTTTTGCCAGGGGCCGCAATATAGGCAGGCCATAAATATGGCCAATTGTCTGAACGCGGTTTCTGGGACCTCTCCAAGGTGATCCTCATCCACATGGTGGCACTTTGTGTCATCGGGTGTTTATCGCTTGTGTGATGTCCTAGTGGGGTAGAAAGTCAGTCAGTCAGTCCTTTCTGAGTATATCGCAAGACTCTCATGCCCCCTTGAGTATATTGCAATTCCTCATGCCCCCTTTGAGTATATTGCAATTCCTCATGCCCCCTTTGAGTATATTGCAATTCCTCATGCCCCCTTGAGTATATTGCAAGACTTCCACACAATTCCCCCTTCCCCCCCCCCCTCTTCAAATGTGCTTTAATCTATAATTAAATGCCTCTTGAGTATATTGCAAGGACCCCCCCCCCCCTCCCCCTCCCCCATGAATATATGGCAAGACCTCCACACTCACCCCACCCCACCTGTGCCAACAAAATGTGATAAAAAAAGAGGACATTAGAATCTGTTGAACAGACAATATGGAGATACGTTTTAGTCAGAATGTCTTCTTTATCTTAATTAAATGCTTGTGTTATCATACTAATAAAATTTCTAACTGTAGATGTACCAGCTGTTTATGAAAGCAAACTAAAGTTTGGAAAGATTATCTGCAAATTCAGAGCCTAGATATTCAAACATGTACAACCAACAGCTCATGGTCATAAACTCTAATTCTTGGTGGGTTTACACCACTCATCCCCATCACTTGTGTTTTGTTGAGACCTATAGTCAGTCCGAAAGACTAAAAAGTCTTTACCCCATTCTATATAGGCAGTATGAAATGCGACCCCCCCCCCCCCCCCCCATACATTAAAAAAAAGGCTTTTTTTTAAAAGGGTAAATGAAAAGACATTGAAAAATAAATTGTTCTGTATAATATAATTCAAAATAGTTTTAAATTTTTTAAAAGTGATCATTGGGGGCTGCGTGGTCTCAAAGCATGGTGTCGCTTCGAGAGCTAAAGGTCCTAAGTTCAAGTCCCGCGAAGGCTGTGATTTTTTCACGTGGATTTCTAGTAATTTCCTTCCTGATACACCTGTGTGTATTTTTACACACTTAACAAATCCCTTGGCATTTGGAAATCGAAAAGAGTAGCCTAACAGCACTGCCCGGGCAAAATTTGGAGTTAAAAGCCTGCCAAAAGTTTTTCAGGATCCTCGCTGGTGCTTCAGAGTTCATGCATTGCGCTGAGATTCTTCGGACTCAGACTTGAATTAGAAGAAGAATGGAGCACTTATGGGTTACACCCGTGTGCCATGATGTTGATCCGTTAAATAAAACATAAAACATAATGTGATGATTGAAATTGTAACTCATTAACAATCTTACATCAATTGAAGAAAAACTGTTACCACCTAAACACTCAGCATGCATGTATCACTAAGAATCCACCAATCACAATGCGAGCGGCTTCCATAATCTGAAAACAAATCTGTGTGCAGGATGCGATGAGGTGAATTTGTTCACTTTTCAAAATTCTCACAGCTCACCACTTCCCGGACCCCACAGATTGGGAGCTTGTGTGTTCAAGGAACTGTGAGCTGACTTTTATAACCACCTTTATGATGTTCTAATTTGCAGGCACAGTTGGATTTATCATGTTCTATTTTGTAGACAGAGTGGAATTTATCATGTTTTCGTTTGCAAGCACAGTGGTATTTATCATGTTCTCATTTGCAGGCACATTGGAGTTTATCATGTTCTTGTTTGCAGGCACAGTGGAATTTATCATGTTCTTGTTTGCAGGCACAGTGGAATTTATCATGTTCTCATTTGCAGGCACAGTGGAATTTATCATGTTCTCATTTGCAGGCACAGTGGCATTTATTATGTTCTCATTTGCAGGCACAGTGGAATTTATCATGTTCTAATTTGCAGGCACAGTGGAATTTATCGTGTTCTCATTTGCAGGCACAGTGGAATTTATCATGGACAGCAATCTGAAATTTTTTTTCATGGAGATGAATACAAGGCTGCAGGTAGAACACCCAGTCACTGAAATGATCACTGGAACAGATCTGGTGGAGTGGCAGCTAAGGGTATGTGGAATGGGAATTATATATCAACGAGAAAGCAATGGTATGTTAGTGGTAGGTTAGTGTATCAATAGGAGAGCAAGGGTATATGTGTGATGTGGTTTGTATTTCATTAGGAAAACAAGGGTATATGTGATGAAGTTTGTATATCAATGGGAGAGCAAGGGCATATGTGAGATGTGGCTTGTATATTTTTGGGAGATCAAGGGTATGTGTGTGATGTGGTTTGTATATCATTGGGAGAGCAAGGGTATGTATGATGTGGTTTCTATATAATTGGGAGAGCAAGGGTATATGTGTAATGTGGTTTGTATATCATTGGGAGAGCAAGTGTGTGTGTGAGAGGGTTTGAATATTATTAGGAAAACAATGGTAAATGTGTGATGTGGTTTGTATATCATTGGGAGAGCAAGTTTATGTGTGATGGGGTTTGTATATCATTGGAAAAGCAATGGTATGTGTGATGGGGTTTGTATATCATTGGGAGATAAAGGGTATATGTGTAATGTGGTTTTTATTTCATTGGGAGATCAAGAGAATGTGTGATGTAGTTTCTACATCATTGGGAGAGCAGGGGTATGTGTGGGGTGGTTTGTATATCATTAGAGAGCATTGGTATGTGTGAGGTGGTTTGTATATCATTGGAGAGCAGGTGTTTGTGTGATGGAGTTTGTATATTATTGGAGATCAAGGGTATGAGTGATTAGCTTTGTTCATTATTGGTAGATATGTTCAAAGAGTAAGGTGCAGAACAGATGCCTCAGGGACTTTCTATTTGCGGATGATGCAGCAATTACTGCAAATACTGAAAATGGTTTGCACATTCTCAATAATCGCATTGCAAGTGCATGCAAAGAATTGGACTGATTATCTGTCTCAACAAAAGTTTGGCCGTGTTAGCTCAGTCGATAGGGGACTCGCTTTCAAATCCAGCTGCGACTTGCTGCAACCCACGGCTGGTGTTCGAAACCAGGTGGTTCCTGGGGTTCGCCCAGCCTCTAGGTAATGGGTACCAGAGTTAACACTCTGGGGTCCCCCGTGTGGGGAAAACAAGAATAGACCCACTGCCTTCCCAAAAGCATGTCGTAAGAGTCGACAAATTGGGGAGCTTCCTTTGAAGTCAGAGTGCATCTGCCGGAGAGGCAAGAAACCAACAGTCTGTATTCAAGAGAATGAGATCTGTAGAACTGATGCACATGCAACACTCAGGTTCTGGAGCAGGACTGCAGTTCAGTAGTGGACGAGCAATCAGAACTTTCTGCCAGAGTGTACAGCTGATGAACGCAAAGAAGAAAAAGAAGAACACTCTGGGGTAAATGGAGGAACGTTGCTGTAGCTACGGAGTTGCGTGTGGATGGCGAAACAGTCTAACAGTTTCTTACCAGCTATCTTTACTGATTGCTAGAGCACTTATGGTTTATAACCGTGTGCAGTAATGGTGGTTCACATCTCCCGACTTTTCCTTTACCTTTTTACTTGGGAGAGATTAGCTGCAGACCGACTCCTTTGGAGGAAGACAGTGAAAGGACAGTCTGTTGCAGTCTAAAAGAGGCCAAACACAGCAAGCTATAGAGAGGAGATGTCTGGGAGAAGACTTGCATCAGAATGATAGTGTATCAACGTATTTATGTGGAATTTGTGACAGAGGCTGCCACTTCCGCATTAGACTTTACAGTCACAGCAGACGCTGTTTCCAAAACCAGGGGCACAACTCCATGGTCCCAGGGACAGATTTTTGCCTACTGCTACTGGTAAATTGTTGACAAGTCATGTTTACCACCTAAAAAGTCAAGTAAATATGTTAGTTCACTAGGCAAATAATATTTTAACATCCTGAAAATAAGTAGATATGTTAGTTCACTAGTCAGATAATGTTTTAACCTCCTGAAAGTCAAGTACTAAAGAAGTCAAATATATGAAAGTTCACTTGTATTAGTGTTTTTAACCCCCTGAAAAGTCAAGTAGCTATATTAGTTCTCTAGTCATAATGTTTTATTCCTAAGAAGTCAAGTAGAAATATTAGTTCATCAGTCATGCAATGTTTTTGTCCCATAAAAAAAGTCAACTACTAACTAAAAAAGTTAGTTCACTAGTCATAATGTTTCTACCACTAAAAAGTCAGATAGATATGTTAGTTGACCAGTCGTGTAATGTTTTTACCCCATAAAAAAATCAGTTATATATTGGAGTTCGTATGTCGCATCTGTCAGTATGAACAACATGGGTGAAAGCTGAAAGGAAGCCCAAGATGGGAAAACAAGTATGTTACTTGTCAAAACCAAATTAAGAATTGGTTTCTGGAATGTAAGAACCATGTTTAAAATGGCTAGAACTGCACAAGTAGTTACAGAAATGCAGAACTTAAGAAACAACATGGAGACAAATGATGAAAAATGAACCGAGTGCAACATCGAGTGCAACATCTTTGACATGGAAAACTGCACTGAAGATTGCACAGGACAGGAAGGCATGGAAAGTCCTCTCTGAAGCCTCATGTGCCACTTGATATAAAGAGAACTGAAAAACATGTCACATAATGTTTTACCCCCATGAAAAGCCATGATGGTATGAATTCACAAGATGCATCATGTTTTTCTTGTTCTTCTTCTTCTTCTTCTCTTCCACCTTGTACCTCAGTGAAGTGTCGGGGTAGATGTAACATTCATTGATGAGCTATGTCAAGAGCACTATTAAGACTGATGTTCATTTCTGTAAGGTTGTTCTTAATGCCATCACTACATATTTTCTGTGGTCTTCTGCTCTCTCTATACCTGTTGTAACATTTTAGTGTGGCTCGCTGTGGCAAATAGTACCAGGGCATTCTTGTTAGGTGTCCAAACCACTTCATTTGTTGTTCTTTGATGACTTGTAAGACTTGCTTTATTCCTAGCATTCGTCTGATTTCATGATTTTGTATTCTGTCTTTCCTTGCTTTCTTTCCTTTAAACTCCTGCATCTCTTCTCAGGTATTTCATCTCTGTTGTCACAGTTTTAGGTTCATCGTGTTTTTACCCCTTAAAAAATCAGGAGCTCACAAGTTGCATAACATGTTTACATTATAAAAGGTGGCTGCAGGAGAACAGATCCCAGTAAAACAAGAGGAGCTGAAGGTTCGAGGCCATGCATTTGAAGCTCGAATCTATGCAGAGGATCCTGATAATGGATTTATGCCTGGTGCTGGTCCACTGCTGCATCTGAGCACACCAGAGCCAGGTGATGACTTGAGGATAGAGACAGGTGTTAGAGAAGGTAAATTGAGTTGCACAATTATTTTTGTAAAACTTATATTCAGATGAAAAGATAAGTAGGGTTGTTTGATGATCTTCTCTTTCTTTCTTTTTGTTTTCCACCCCCATGTCTGATTTCCATTCTTCCTCCTCCTCCTCCTCTTTAGCCTTTAGCTTCTCTCTCTTTTCCTGTTTTCCTCTCAGTCTTCCTTGCCCTTCTCCTCTTCTTCTTAATTTTGTTTCTTTCCTTTCCTTGTCTTTGTCCTCCTCTTTCTTCCATATCTTCTTCTTTTCATCCTGTTTCTTTTTAGCTTTTTTCTTCTCCTCCTATTCTTTTTGCTGTTGCTACGTGTAGGTTATTGTTATTAATGTGTTAATTTTACTTATAGAATGGTCTTGCTAATTTAATTTCAGATTATATGTATATTTCTTTCAGCTGAAATGTTTCCCTACATAATTAGAATAAATATTGCTTGCTTTCCTTCAGTCTTTCCCTTTAAATAACCTATTTTTATTTGATTTAGCAGACTGCAACAACTGGCGTGGTATCACCCTACTCTCCGTACCAGGAAAACTGTTCTGCAGCATGCTAATGCAGAGACTGAAAAAGCCAATAGATGCAAGACTCCGAGAAGAACAAGCAGGATTCAGACCGAATCGGTCATGCATCGACCATATATTCACACTCGGGACCATCGTAGAAGAGTCAGTAGAGTTTCAATCCCAACTCATCATCAACTTTGTTGATTTTCAGAAGGCCTTTGACAGCATACACCGCCCTACACTCTGGAAGCTACTCACAATCTATGGTTTCCAAGATAAATATGTCAATATTATAAAGGCCTTCTACACCGATTCCCGCTGCCTTGTTAGAACGGAATCTGGTAACTCTGATTGGTTCCTAGTAGAAACAGGCGTGAAACAAGGATGTGTCTTGTCACCGATGCTTTTCGGAATAGCACTCGATTGGGTCATGCGCAAATGCACACAGGACACACATCTAGGCATCAAATGGGTCGACAAAGTTCTTGAAGATCTTGACTTTGCTGACGACCTAGCACTCCTGAGCACAACACATCTAGCAGCTCAGGAAAAAATGGACCGCCTCCAGAATATTTCAAGCCAAATCGGCCTTCAGGTCAACGCAGCCAAAACGAAAATCATCGATCTTACCAACGAGTCGAAAGACATCAAACTAAAGGATATTGTTCTTGAAAAAAATCACCAGCTTCACATACTTAGGGAGCAAGATAACCTCTGCGGGAGATACAAAATCAGAAATAACGACTCGAATCGCGTTAGCATCAAGTGCCTTTAACAAACTGTCAAACATTTGGAAGTCAAGATCACTCAGCAACAACACGAAACTTAAGGTCTTCAATTCCTGTGTGATCCCAGTGCTAACTTATGGTTGTGAGAGTTGGAAATCATCAGTATCAATCGATAAGAAACTAGTCGCTTTCGAGAATAGATGCCTCCGAAAGCTATTGAATGTTCACTGGTCGGACTTTAGGTCCAATACATCTATAAGACAGGAAACAAAACAAAAATATGTGTCTGATTTTATTAGAATGCGTCGCTGGAATTACATCGGTCACGTACTCAGAATGGACATACAGAGACTTCCCCACCAAGCCTTCATATGGTCACCAGAGGGTAAAAGAAAACAGGGAAGACCAAAAGAAACTCTCCGTAGAACCATCACAAGGGAGAGCTCAACCATAGGTCTCAGTCGCACTCAAGACCTACATCAAGTGGCAACGAACCGACAGACGTGGAAAGCTATGACCTCTGCCCTATGCGCCATCTTTGGCACAAGAGGAATAACTAACTAACTAACTAACCTATTTAAAAAAAAATAACTTATGCAGGAGATATTTTTTTCTGTTTACAGGCGATGAGGTGTCAGTTCACTATGATCCTATGATCGCCAAGTTGGTTGTGTGGGCTGAAGATCGACATACTGCTCTCAGGCGAACAATAGCAGCACTACAAGACTATCACGTAGTGTATTAGAAAGATTGTTGTTTTGTTCTTTGTGCTTGACATGTTTTTAATTCCATCTAAGAAATGAAGAGCGCTGCTCTTCCCATTTACACACTAGCTCACTTATGATTGGTCGACCTTCAAGCTAGCTCACTTCTGATTGGTCGACCTTGAGCCACGGGGATTGGCACAAAGTGACGGGGTATTGCACGTTCTATATTTCAGCATGCCAGCGCTTTTAACACTCTAAAAACATCAACAGACTGGGTCTAACACAAAACCCCTTTAGAGTGATGAAATCTATGTCACAGGCATTCTCTTTCTCAGAATAAAAAAGTAAATGCAAGACATCTCACAAAGCAAACAACAAAGCGGCACACCCGTAACGTCCAGCAAGGTAGACCAGTCCAACAAAGTTATCAATAGAACGTGACCTACTTTCTCTGGGGAGACTGTAGTAAAACTAAGTGACAAATATAGTTGTTTCACTATTTTGTACCTTTGCTGGTATCTGCTGAGAAAGAACAGGGTATTTATTAAGTAAATAAGTAAATGACCCTTTTCACTCTTTTATCACATCAGGCATACAGGGCTAGACCTATATTTATATAGATCACTTGATGGGGGATATGGTTCGCATCTTGCTGGTTATCTTTACTTCTCAGCAAATTACCTGGTACCCATTTTAGGCTGGGTCTCCTTGTATGTTCCTGGGCTCCATTGTGGGGTGGGTGGGGACAAAATTGTCTCCCTAACAGAGATGTCGTAAGAGTTTACTATGAGTTTCCTTCAGAGTCAGAGTGTATGTGCCCGAGAGGTCAGGAGCAGCTTTCTTTTCTTCCAGAGGAAAGTGAGCAACTGTCTTGTCTGTGAACGACTGTTTTGTGGTTAGGGTTAGATGCAGTAATACTGAAAGGTTAAGGAAATTTATGTTGAAGGCTAAGTCATGAAGTAAGAACATCGCTTCCACACAAGGCAGATTGAGAGCAAGGAAGGAACGAAATGGAAAACAGTGGAATCGATGACGCAATAAACGATAACAACTGGAAAACAACCAGCACATCATACACCTATAATATAGGAGTGGTAGTGTTTTTTAATATGAAAATAAACACTACGAAGACAGAGACAATGATGATAGGAAGACATAAAGACAATTTAGAAATTAAATTAAAAAACCACCCTCAGACAAACAGAGGTTAAGTATTTGGGAGCAGTTTTTATATCAGACGGAAAACTGGACAGAGAAATTAGCTCCAGATGTGCCAAAGCTAATCAAGTAATGGGTCAACTATCTCCTCTGTTGACACACAAGCAGATACCTCGGAGTACTAAAGTGAATCTTATCAGAACTATTTTTTGGCCAACACTATGCTATCAATGCCAAACGTGGACACTTATATCCTCCAGTGAACGTAAAATTGTGACAACAGAGATGAAATGCCTTAGAAGAGATGCAGGAGTTTCAAGGAAAGACAGAATACAAAATCATTAAATCAGACGAATGCTAGGAATAAAGCCAGTCTTGCAGGTCATCAAATGAAGTGGTTTGGACACCTAACAAGAATGCCCTGGTACTATTCGCCACAGCGAGCCACACTAAAACGTTACAACGGGTATAGAGCCAGTATAAGACCTCGGAAAATATGGAGTTTTGGCATTAAGAACAGCCTTACAGAAATGAACATCAGTCTTAATAGTGCTCTTGACAGAGCTTATCAACGAACATTACATCTCCCCCCGACACTTCGATGAGATACAAGGTGGAAGAGAAGAAGAAGAAGAAGAAGTATTTTAGAGTTAGTGTTAAATGAACTAAGACTAATCCTGACCCTAACCTCCCTAGGCTATAGGACTGTCCTGGGAAATTCCAAACAAAATCTTGCACCCAGCGAGATGGGGTGAAAAAGCTGAGTAATACCAGATTTCTCTTGGAAGTCCTTGCTTCCTCAGTCTATGTTTTTTCAGCTTCTGTACCCATTTCTCTTCATGATGTTTTGGGAATATAGCCATCTTCTTTGTTGTATCGCTGATGATACAGCAGACATTTCTCTTTTTTTTCACCTTTTATTGTACTTAACATTCATTGTCTTTAGGCATTTGTTTTTCAGTGCAGTAAGTGAAATACATTGACGATCAAGATAAATATACAGAGTATTTGAAGTTTTTTTTCTAGAAGAAGGATGGTACATAAGCACACATGTCTGCACATAGATATCATCTTAAGTGCTGCAGTTGAAATGCAGAAGAAGGTTTAGATGTACTTTATTTTATTTATTCATTTGCTGTTATTTTAATTTTAAGAGAGAATAGTTATATGCTCTGATTGAAAAGGGAGAGCTGCTGAGAGACATACAAATTGAGACATCTGAAATATTTCAGCCATATTAAAATACATAATACTCTTTTAACCACCACGCTAGTGGGATAAGTCAGAGATAAGAGAACAAGAGGTAGACACTGATACAAGGGTGGGGGGTAGGGGGGGGGGGGGGAAGGGATGATATGTGACCTAATAAATTCAACTTTACTTGCATCAATGCCATTTTCAGCAACATTTGGCTGGATGGTTAAGAATGCAGAGCTCTCAGACAGGAGACCCAGGTTTGAATCCTCAGTGAGGTCATGGATTTTTGTGTGTTTTTGGCTATCCTCTGACAAACAGTCGGCAAAGTTGGCGGCTGCAAAATATCCAGCCGAGCCGCGGTCACGGGTCATTGCGCACTTGGGGTCACGGGTCAATTGCGCGCTTTCGGCTTCTTCATGTGCGCTTTTCCAGCGACAATGGCTACCGCCACGTGGCCCCCACGCCGCTCACGCAGCGTAGATTGGGGCTAAACTAGATGGCTAGGACTCACGAACAAAGCTGCAGGAGATGCGGAAGCTGCTGCTCATCAGTCCTAGCTATTTAGTTTAGCCCCAATCCACGCGGCGTGGGGGCCACATGGCGGTAGCCGTTGTTGGCAGAAAACCGCAAGAAGACCGCAAATTAAGTAGCCGGAAGCGCGCAGTGACCGCGGCACGGCTGGATATTTTGCCGCCGCCATCTTTGCCGGCTGTTTGTCCGAGGATAGCCGTGTTTTTTGTCCAGGCAAAAATATTAACAATCCTAATCTGCACAGTTTGTGGCAACAACACTAGCCATGCGGCCCTAAATCCTCAGGCTCAAAGACCCCCCTGCCTGCACAGTAAAACTGGTAAACACTGGCAACAGTTTATAGTTTATTTACATTTTGTTGTTGTTACTTAGCCATTTCGTAAGATGAAAAATTTCTTTACTTGCAGGTTGTGGGACTGAGCACAAACATCCGCTTTCTGATGGCCCTAGCCTCACACCCATCATTCCAAGCGGGCGATGTCAGCACAGAATTCATCCCCCAGCATCAGGCATCCTTGTTTCTGCCCAGCAGCCTGTCACCAGCTGTCCTCTGCCACGCTGTCCTGGCACTAGCGGCTAGACACAGGACCCAGGTGTACCAAGATGCTCTAGCTACCAAAGGTAAACACCATGCTTCTCCCCCCCCCCTCCCCAAATACAAGACTACTGGGTTCTTTTTGTAATAAGTCACTCCAGATGACATCACAGGGACAGTCCAATATTTTATGGGGGGGGGGGGGGGGTAAGACCGGGTTTCCTGGCTTTGTGGTACTTTTAACTACCCCAAAACATGTAAAACGGAACCTAACCCGACCCACTTACATCCCACGAGAGAGTTCAGCCTAGGTCCCAGGACTGCATGCAGCCTATCTACCACCCCCTGAAATATTGGACTGTCTGTGGTGAAAAGAAACAAAAAGCACCGACTGCTGTTCCCGTGGGGGGTACTGGGACCCCCACTGTGAGGAAAACAAGGATAGACCCACTGCCTCCACAACAAACATGTAAAAGTCGACCAATTGGGGGCTTCCTTCAGAGTCAGAGTGCATCTGCCTGAGAGGCAAGGAATCAGCAGTCTGCATACAAATAAGCAAGATCTGTAGAACATGCAAAACTCAGGTCCTGGAACAAACCAGTGTCCAGAAATGGATGAACAACCGAGTCTTTCTGCCTGGGTTGGCAGCCAGTGAATGCAAACAACAACAACAAGACTGCTGCCCTGAAGATGTTGTTCAATTGATTCTAGGCATATAATACTTTACTTACTGACTGACTGACTTAGTCACTCCTCTTCTACCTAGGGGTGTAGAGGTTTGCCAGAGAGATTACCAGACTTCCCATCAGCAGTTTTTTAGGCATATGATGCTATCCCTTTATTCAGATGAGGGGGTTCAGTTTCAGTTTACTGTAGATCATTGTTGTTTTGCCTCTTTCAGATTTTAACTTATATTAGTACAAGTCTTTCTGGGGTGCTACGGTGGTGTAACGGCTAGGTGCTCCACCTCTAGCTGAAAGGTTTTGGGTTCAAATCCATTTAACATTAAAAAAAAAAATTGGGGTGGGGGGTGGGTTCATCAAATGACCTATCCTAAAATGAGTATTTGGTAAAGTCCTGGGAAGTAAAGAAGGCTGAAGTAATGTTCACCACATTATCCTTTGAAGACTTATAAAAATAAAGTGGTCTCTAAAAAATTAGTCTAGGATCTTATGTCCAAAATACCACTTGCCTGAAAGGTGTCCTTAACTTACTTACTTACTTCTTCTTTCGTTCACTTGAAATATGTAATCTATACCTGCAATGTTGTCTCTAGTATGAACTTCACTGTCTCTTGTACTTTACTTATTGAAATTAATTTTTGCCCCGAAAGACTTTTTAGGGCTTATTTTCCAAACTGTCTTATTTTTCCTTCTTTGAAATTCTACATTTATTCAAGTGCAAAAATATACATTTTTTCAGCTTTAAAAATGTACATTTATTCAACAACAAAAATATAAATTTATTCTTCGTGTTCACCAGCTGTTAACTCTAGTGGAAAGTTCTGGTTGTTCATCCACTTCTGGACTCTAGTCCTATTCCGTAACTTGAATGTTGCGTACACATCCAATTGACAGATCTATCTCATATCTAAGCAGACTGTTGGTTCCTTGCCTTGCAGATAGATGCATGCTGAGTTTGAAGGAAACTCCCAATTGGTCGACTCCTCGGACATGCTTTTGGGTAGGCAGTGGGTCTGTTCTTGTTTTCCCCTGCAACCCACACAGAGAGCATTTATTCTAATACAGTCAGGTTGTCTGCTTCAGGAACAGTGTTATTATTCTCCAAACCCTGACTTTAGGCCTGGATGTCTGGGGACTCATTTTCTAACTAGAGCTTATGACTGGGCTAGGGCTTTTATTACAGGCATCCTAAATGTTGAATTAAGAATTGGCATCATAGCACTTGAGACACTCCCATAAGTGTTCTGTCCCCATCTTCAGCAGCAAACAAAGAGTTCCAACTCTAATGGTACCAGTAACTGTTTGATTGTATATTCGTCTCGCCTTTTCCTTGAGTGTCGAGCATTGGCCAAATCCCTGGTAACTTCTCCCAGCGCCATTTTCATCAGATCTTAATGATATGTCTGTGCTTCCGCACTGTTCACTCACTCCCAAAAGACCCTGAGGTCATTTAGCTTGTCATGTATCAATTAACCACCAAGTGGTGCAGAGCCAGCCAGTCTATCTGCCTGCTTATTTCCCAACACACCGGCATCACCTGGAGAAAACATCCAAAGAATGCTAACTAGCAGGGACCTCTGACATGATACTTGCCACTCTGCACGAGCATGCCTGTCTCCACCTTTCTCAGCATGCTTGGTGAGTCAGTTACAATCACGGCATGTGTGTACAGCTGATTCTCAAACCAGCAGAAGGCAGTAGTGACAGCCTCCACCTCGATTCTCAAACTAGACGTTGTGATTTGATGTGCCAGGTGTTGTTGCACTGAGCGACATTCATTTGCTTTTGCTATGAACTCCCATGCACTGCACCATCCCATCATCCTAGGGCTTATTTTTTGGTTAGGTCTTTTGGGGATTTCTTTTTCTGGGACTGCAACTTGAAATTTTATCACCACTTTGTTAAATGTTTGGATGTTAATCCAGCGGGGACAAGTCCCAGATATCCAGTTGAACCATGTCATTGCCATCCTATTGAACTATAATATGTCCCATGGGACTCACACACTGTGGGCTGGGTGGATTTTTATCGGGGTATGGGACGTCGCAGGTTGACCCAGCCTCAAATGGGTACCAGGATGGGCTGTCCTGGGAAAGTAAAGACGGCCGGCGTAATGCTGACCACATTACCAAACCGAGTGCCTATTGGTCTGTAAAAATATGGGTGCTCTTCCCATATGCCCGATGCGCTTAAGGGCGTGTAAAGGGATCTTTACTTACTTACTTTTGGGACTCACAGTCTCTTCCTCCATTCCATCTTTTATGTGCAATCCTTTTCATGTCATGGATGGAATCAAGTCCAGCACCTTTGGCCTTTCGTTTATTTTAGGGTTTCTTTTGAACATCCTCACTCCCTTAGTCCATTTGATTCCCCTTTCAGTGCATCTGTCTGAAGCAGGGAACCGACAATCTGCATAAAAATAAGTCAGATCTGTAAAACAGGTGTGCACACAACACTCAGATTCTCGAATAAGACCAAAGTAAGAGATTGACAAACAATCAGAACTTTCCACTGGAGTTACAGCCAGTGAATACGAAGAAGATGAAGAATATACCTCATTTGATGTTTATCAGTTTCCTCCAGTTTTTGTTTTTGAATGTCCTTTGAAGTCAGAGTGCATGTGCCAGAGAGGCAAGGAACTAACATTGACAGATCAGCCAGATCTGTAAAATGGATGTGCAGGCAAAACTCAAATCTTGGAGCTATGTAGAAAAATAACTGGATGGCTCAACTACACTGCCTGATCAGAACAAGAACACAAACCGGATCTCAGAGTGGTGATTGAGTGAGAATAAAAATCATGACTGCCCATGCATCTGATTCTGTTGCCAGCCACTGAGTTAAGTCCATTTGCGACACTGCAAGTTGTGGATTTCTTGTGGAACTAGTCTTGTCAATGCTTCCAGAGAGAGTGTTGTGAACTGCGTATTCATAAAATGAAAAGTGGCTGGTTGCCACAGAATGGTAGGCATGCCTTATGGCAGCGGCTCTCAACCTACCTTTTTTTGGGTCGAACAGCCCTTTCACAGGGGTCACCTAAGACCATCGGAAAACACATATTTATTGAAGTTATGAAGGAAGATAATTGTTTGGGGGTCGCCACAACATGAGGGAACTGTATTATATGGTCGCAGCATTAGGAAGGTTGAGAGCTACTGCCCTATGGAGTAATGTATGTACACTTGCTGTTTTGTCATTACTGCTGCTACTGGCAACTATGAACTGCAGTTATCGTAACAGGCTGTCAGGGTTGGCACCGCTGGCATTCACCTTATATATTTAATGCATGTGCGAGCTGTTGGATGTTACCAGGACTGCTGTTTGATTTTTCGCCTGGAATATTTTGTGGGGTTTTCTCTGGCGCAGGAACAAAGCAGTTATGTTGTAACCCATGTGCCGTAAAGTTGCAACTGCGACTGATAACCCAGTCACCAATTTACATGTGGGTACCTTAACTAGGCCTTTCCACCGACACATCCAGTTTCTGCTCAACCTTTTGATACCCCCACCGTGATGTCGCGGCTAGACATTTGCCTGTGGATCGGAAGGTCGTGGGTTCCGGTCCTGACAGAGCTAGACTTAAATGGGTACAGGGTTTCCTGGGAACTACAGGGCAGCCGGTAAGATGTTGGCCACATCACCCACAGAGTGACAAACTGGTCTATACAATCTAGATCTAGATCTATATGCCCAATATATCTGAAAGTGTGGAAAGGGGTTCTTTACTTTTTACTATTTTTTTAATTAAAACTGAATTGTATCCTTATTCTTTGATAGCTGCTCTTTTGTCAGGGTTGCAGTGAGGTTTAAAAAGTATTTTGTTTTTCATTTATCAGATTGTTATTCACCTTTTGCCTTGAACTTTGGACTGCGGATCAACTCTACACCCTCCTACAAACTGAGGCTTGTTGATGGCGGCACAGGTGAGAGAAAATAGATGTACATGTTACATCCCCCCATTACAGAAAAAGTTATTTTAAAAAAAAGGACAATCTTCTTCTTCATATTCACAGGCTGTAAACGTCTGCGGAAAGTTTTGGTTGTTTGTCCACCTCTGAACTGTAGTCTTGTTCCTGAAGTGTTATATGCTTTTGGATGCGTTTTCACCCTGCAGTATTTTCATGGTCTCATTCCCCTTTCTCCAGAGTATAGTGTTATATTGTACTAGAGCAGTGGTTCTCAACCCTCCTAATGCCACAACCCTTTAATACAGTTCCTCATGTTGTGTGACCCCAACCATAACATTATTTCTGTTGCTACTTCAGTGAATATGTGTTTTCCGATGGTCTTAGGCAACCCTGTGAAGTGGTCGTGCGACCCCAAAAGGGTTGCGACCCACAGGTTGAGATAACATGTCCTAGAGGGAGGCATGGGAACCACAACCCGTGGTGATGGCGATTGTGACTAGCCACACCTACTTACTTTAAGAAATATTTTGTGCAGTGATAAGGGATTTTAGGACCATTGTTGCAATCCCATGTCTTTCACTTGCTTCTTCTCAGACTCTCAGCTGTTAACCTATCTGCAATCATTTTCTCCTTTCTTCTTTTGCCCTTCTAAATTGTCTTAGTCTTTGTCGAGATTTCAACTTCACTGCAGTCTAGTCACCCCATACTTGCTCCGTTCCTATGCCAGTAAAAATCAAATGAAATGTTCCTCACTGTCCCATTTGAAAAACTGGTAAAGTAAACAAACAATTAGTTTTGGAACAATCCAGAAATGTGCAGTAAATGCAGATGGCAGTTGATAGAGTTGCCAAAGCCAACAGTCGCCACCAGAAGGGCAGTTTGTCGTTGAAAGAAATAGTTAGGCACGATAAGTTTACTTTACACACGTAGAATTATTACATAAGGTATTTCACCAGCCTATATGTAAATTGAATACCAGCCATATTGAATACCAAGACTCTACACAAATGAAAGGCATTCCACATGAAAAACACAGTTTACAGGGTTACACCAAGAACTAAACTCAGTAGCTCGGGCAGCGAAACCGTAGACTACCATCCCTAGATGGAAACTGCATTAGCAAAGTGCTAAGTTTTCTACCTCCATGCAGTGTGATCCATGGCATCCTGCCCCCACAAATTCACCTCAGTGCCTGCATCATTCATGTCCTGCTTGCACATACCTTTATATTGTTGTAGAGGCAAGCCTTGACATCTTCTATCCATCTGTAATTCACTGTAGAGGAGAGGTCCTGAGGGACTCTTCCATCCTCCAAATGTGTCCTAGCCATCTGAGCCTTTGAAGAGGGAGCATTGAGAAAACTGTTGTGCTACCTGCCCTTCCCAATACCTCTGTGTTTGTGATCTTGTCTTGCCACTAGAAGCTATGTATTCTTGTTAGACATTGAAAGCTATTTAGTCTTTCTCCTGGTAAGAATAAGTCGACCAAGTTTCACTACAATAAAGAAGAGTGCTGAGAACCCAAACTTGGATAGACAGAGGTTTTAACCCTACTCCTCTCCTTCTTCTTAGTGTTCACCAGCTGTAAACTCCAGCAGAAAGTTCTGGTTGTTTATCCACTTCTGCACTTTGCTCTTGCTCCAGAACTTAATTTTTGCTTGCACGTCTATTTTACAGATCTGGCTTAATTATGCAGATTGTTGATTCCTCGCCTGTCCGACAGATGCAGTTTTTGTTTAGGGGGATAGTTGGTCTATTCTTAGGCATAGTGGGTAATAAACAGGCAGACAGATTGGCTGGATCTGGATCTCCACCATGTGGGTGGTGAATTGATACATGACAAGGCAGATGTGGTCAAGGCCGTGTGGGAACACGCAACGGAATCAGTAGAGAAACAAGATTATTATGGCCAGGAGAGATTGAGGCACCTGAGTGTAACCAGAGGGTCTGGCCGGCTCACTACACTCAGAGGAAAGGCAAGACGGACATATAACCAGATTGTGACCGGTACGGTACTATCAGTGTTGGAACTCTGCGCTGGCTGCTGAAGATGAAGGCAGAGCACGCATGGCAATGACCTGAGTGCTGTGATGTCAATTCTTGACTCAACTCAACTTTTCCCCACAAAATTTCGGCTCAAGCCCACACGAGAAGAACCCTACAATTGTCACCTTTATTATTACTTTACGCTTCACATTTCCCTTTCAGAACACAGAATCATAGTGACAGAGTCCTCCAAAGGCAACTGGCAGGTCAGGGTTGACGAAGGGGATACTTTAGCAGTCAGTGATGTCAGCTTGTCAGAGGAGAGTGACAATAAGTTCACAGTGAAGTGCAGCGTTGACGGTGTTGTATCCTCCACTTCTGTCCTTCTGGTTGGCAACTCTGTACATTTGTTTACATTGGTAAGTAGTCATTGAAAAATTACAGAATTTCTTCAGTTTCTGGTCTTTGTGATGAAGTGGTTAACTCATTCAATGGTTTTAAAACTAACGACGGCATTAACCATTTAACAAGAAGGGACCAGGCCACCAGCTTCAGACTCAGAACACAACATACTCCACTCAATAGACACCTGAACAGAATACAGCCACAACACTCCCCAGAGTGCCAGCTATGTAACTACCCCTACGAAACTGTTGACCATCATCTCTTTGAGTGCCCAAAACTCAACGAGACAAGAAGAATGCTACTCCTCCGATACCAGACAGGTGGAACACCTTGTACGGAGGAAAAGAATAGCTATGTTAAAACATGTTTATTTCACTACATGGCATTGGGCCAAAGGGAGAAAGCTCATGCACCGCTGGATCAATAACAACAACAACAAAACTAAATTATTAAAGAATTTTAATTTATAATGTTATTCCAGTTTTCGCCTGTGCCAGTTGTTTTAGAACCACTGAAGACATGGAACAAACGTTAAATAAGAGAAACGGATACAGCTGGTTAATTATATACACACACAAAACGCACACATTTTGGGTACAATCAACTGATCATGTGTCAATTTATAACTAATTTAAATGCTATATGGTGCCAGAAGTGTTAAGCTGTTTGAAATTTACTTTGAAAGTTGAGGGTTTGGTGTTGGATTCCATTGTTTGGCTTGTGAGTATGAGTGTTTCTAAGATCCCTACGGATCTGTGGCTGTGGGCTTGTCTTATTTTATTTTAACATTTCTGCACTTGAAAGTCACTTTCCCGAGTGAGACTGACCCATTTGATTTAAAATCCAGTGAAATGGAGTGTATCTTCATCCTTTAAAGATGTTTGTGTGTTTTGTGTTTTCAGCTACCTTTATCTTGTTCTCATCTCCTCTTTTTAGCCCAGGGATTATAGTTTTAAATCCCCATTGGAAAGATTTAAAAAAAATTGATCTGAGCTCCCATGTCAATTCAGTCTTAAAATGGATTACCAGGAAATGTTCTGGGAAGTAAAAGCTGGCTTCATGATATTGATCTCACCATCCATTCAGATCCATTTAGACTATGTGGCTAGCCCAGATGCCCCTTGCACTGTAAGGTTTGAGAACCATGGTCGTATTACTACTTTTATCTTTATCTCTTCTAATCTTTCCCATTTGGATGTCTGCAGACTCCCGGGGTCAGTTGAACAAATTTAAGAGGTTCATAATATAATTTACAACACAAACCTCATCCTTAGAATGTAATCCTTTTTGCAATTCTAGTAAAGTAAAATAAAGGACCTTTTTCCACGACTTTAGGCGTATCTGGCATATAGTGCTAGACCTATATGTTATAGACCGATCAACACTCAGTGGATGATATGGTCAACATCGCGCCAGCCGCCTTTACCTCCTAGAATTTTACGTGGTACCTATTTAAGAAGGGGTTGACCTAAGTCATTTTTGTGGGGGGGGGGGGAAGTCCCACTCCGTTCAGATTTGAACCTACAACCTTCTGATCCATGAGCAAGTGTCTAGCCACTACACCATGGCAGCTTCATTGTGTGTGTGTGTGTGTGCAATCCTAGTATTTATAAATGAAATTTTTTTTAGAATGACTATTAGAAAGTACGGGATCCCTGGCAGATCTTTGAAAATAAGAGAGCACCGCAGATTTTAGTTAATTGAGAATCAGTGTATCTCTGTGTTATCATATTGTTGAGTGTTTACTTGGTACCTTTGCTTTGGAGTTAACAAGGCAGTCCAAGTGAGGGATCATGCTGTGTGGGCAACACATGGTTTCTGCAATACTGCCCGGGCCTTGTGCAGTGAAGAGGATGAACTTCAACCATGACCTTAACTGCTGTCATCATGGTATTTACACTACTGCCCGGGCCTTGTGCAGTGAAGAGGATGAACTTCAACCATGACCTTAATTGCTGTCGTCATGGTATTTACACTACTGCCCGGGCCTTGTGCAGTGAAGAGGATGAACTTCAACCATGGCCTTAATTGCTGTCGTCATGGTATTTACACTACTGCCTGGGCCTTGTGCAGTGAAGAGGATGAACTTCAACCATGACCTTAATTGCTGTCGTCATGGTATTTACACTACTGCCCGGGCCTTGTGCAGTGAAGAGGATGAACTTCAACCATGACCTTAATTGCTGTCGTCATGGTATTTACACTACTGCCCGGGCCTTGTGCAGTGAAGAGGATAAACTTCAACCATGACCTTAATTGCTGTCGTCATGGTATTTACACTACTGCCCGGTCCTTGTGCAGTGAAGAGGAGGAACTTTAACCATGACCTTAATTGCTGTCGTCATGGTATTTACACTACTGCCCGGACCTTGTGCAGTGAAGAGGATGAACTTCAACTATGGCCTTAATTGCTATCGTCATGGTATTTACACTACTGCCCGGACCTTGTGCAGTGAAGAGGATGAACTTCAACCATGGCCTTAATTGCTGTCGTCATGGTATTTACACTACTGCCTGGGCCTTGTGCAGTGAAGAGGATGAACTTCAACTGTGGCCTTAATTGCTGTCGTCATGGTATTTACAGTACTGCCCGGGCCTTGTGCAGTGAAGAGGATGAACTTCAACTGTGGCCTTAACTGCTTGGGAACTGAGCACTTGTTGGAGTGTCCTGAGTGCTGTGATGGTGATTCTCAATTCAACATTCAACTAACAAAAACTGAGTTTTAGGCTATCCCTACATTTGCTTGTGTCAAATTATTTTTCTACATTGTCTGTTCATCCAGAAAATGATTCTTTGGTAATACATTTAAAGTGTTTGGACACTGAATATTTGTTTGGTAACTTCCATGGGAAAATCTTGAGAATTGTTTCAGTTTTTGCATCAGATTTCTGATAAAGATGCTGCTGCATGTCAAAGTGCTAGACTTGCTGACATCTTATCTTGTGGTCTTCCTCTGCCTCACTATCCTATAGACAATGTATTTAGTGCTCCTAAAGTACTCAAGGTGCTTATTGTTGTCAATGTATTTCTGCCCTTGACTAGAATGGCAAGCGAAGTCTTGATATTCCTACCCCAGACTACCTCAAATCTGCTCTGAGTGTTGGCAGCATTGATGACCCGATAGCACCGATGCCAGGTGTGATTGAGAAAGTTGCAGTAGAGCCAGGAGCAACCGTACAAAAAGGAGAGCCTCTAGTGATCATGATTGCAATGAAAATGGAGGTAAAATGTCTTTCTTGAACAACATTACAACCATATTTTTTAAAATATTTTAGCAGAAAATTGAAAGGTATAATTTGATTTGAGTTCTGAACAGTAATATATTTCTGGAACAGTTATGTTCATCAAATGTCCTGCTGACCGGCATGGACAATCATGCTTTTTCACATTTTGCAATCTTTAACAGCATGTATCAGTTTCTATGCTGGTATCATTGCATGTCATGACACAAATCATATCTTGATGTCTTCCTCTATTGCTCTTTCCATAAATCTTTCCAGTTGTTTCTTCTTCTGCTGCATTTGCTCTTGATTTTGTGGTTTACAGCTAGGCAGCTAGGTCCAACAATCTGGTGTCAGAAAACCCCCCCCCCCCCCCCTTTTCCCCATTAATCTCCAGATCCCACACAGGGAATTTAGCAGCAGAAAGTCTAAAAAAATTTCACGCCATTTTCAACAGGTTACATTATTCTGGAACAATCTTCTCTATTTTTTAGAGTTGAGTTGAATCAAGAACCGACATCACAGCACTCGGGGCATTCCCATACACACTCTGTCCCTATCTTCAGCAGCCAGCGCAGAGTTCCGATACTAATGATGCCAGTAGCATTCTGATCAAACATCTGTCTTGCCTTTCCTCGGAGCCTTAAGCATCTGCCAGAACCTCTCGTCACTCCCCCCTGAATCAGTCTCACCAGACTGCGGTGATCCATCTGCTCCTCTGAACTGTACACCCTCTCCCACAAGGCACTAACCACGTCTGCCTTATCATGCATCACCTGTTCATTTCCCAACACACTGGCGTTTCGGTGAAAAATCCAGACAGTACTCCTCACTCCTTAAAAAAAAAATACAACCTGTTCAAAACTGTTTGAAAAGTGAACAGGTAGATAGACTGGCTGGTTCTGCACCACTTAGGGTGAACTGATACATGACAAGCCAGATGTTGATAAGTGTCTTTTGTGAGTGAGTGATCAGTGTGGAGGCTAAATAGATCAACTCTGTCCGAGGAGAATAGTGGTGCGAGAAGTAACCAGTGAATCTGGTCGATGCTCGGCACTCAAACATAAGGCAAGACAGATATACAATCAGTCTGTTATAAGTGGCATTTAAATTTAAACTCTGCACTTGCTTGCTGAAGATGGAGATGGTGCGCTTATGGGAATATCCCTGGTGATGTGATGTCAATTCTTAATTCAAAATTTAACTTTAAAAAAAAAATCATGAATTTTTTGGATGTCTGCAGAAATATCTACATTATGATAAGCAAAGCCAAGTTATTTGCTGAAAACCATAGACCAGAATGTATCTGCCTGAGAAGCAATGAACCAGCAATCTGCATACAAATAAACCAGACCTGTAAAATTGATGTGCATGCAAAATTCAACAAATGGAACAAGACTACAGTCTAGAAGTTGACAAACAACCAGAACTTTATAGCCGGTGAACGCAAAGAAGACAGTAAACAATAATTTTTTTAAAGACATTTTGCAGCAGAAAAAGGGGAGGGGGAGTGATCAAGCCATTTGCCCCACATTCTTAAGGTTGTGGGTTTATTTCATGGACGTGTTGTTAAGTTCACAAACACAGTTTTAATTGAGATACCTGGGGACTGTCACTGGAGCTACAGAAGCTTGATGTGTGCAACACTTTCGGCACATGGCCAGCTATTCTGTGGAGAGAGGCTGAGAAAAAAACCAGTGAAGTTGATCCTCCTGATTTGAACTTGAACTTGCAGCAGAAAACACTCTAAGTCTGATTTTTATTTGTGGATCAAATACACATTTTTATTTTTGGGGATCCAGAAACCATGAGATATAAACCCTTTGGCTGAGTACTGTCGATATCGCAACCCTTCTGTCTTGATTCCTTGATAGATACCATAAATCTGGGAAATACATGGCTTTTCTGCCTACCCTCGAACGTAAACTCGGACCAAAAGAAGTTTGTCACCCGGTTGCCACGCAGTTGGTTTAACCAACTTGGCTAGCGGCCTGGCATAGAACACACATAAAACCTGAACAGTTTAGCTGGAATGTTCTTGCATTGGAACCCACAGAGTCTGATGGCAGTGGATAGCACAGCTTGGGATGGGTTGGTTGGAGGCATATACTCCTTAGGAAATAAAGGCCTGAAGAATAAGGAATAAAAGAAAGCAACAGCAGAAGAAGAATAAAGAGGTATAGCAGAAGAACAAGAAAAAGACGACATAGGAATGTCATAAAAAGTTGGGGAAAAAACATGTCATTAGAATTAAGAAGATGAGAAAAACAAACACAGGAATAGAAGAAGAACAACAACAACAACATAACAAAGAAGAAGAAGAACAGTATATGCTTTCGAGGTTATCCATAAGTGATTTTTATGGGGTCAACACTCACTTTTTTTTTGTTAGCATGTCAACATTATGTATGTGTGTTTTTACAGTGATTTTATTGTTTGTTTGCCCACAGTATGTGATTAGAGCTGCCAGAACTGGGGTAGTTGAGAAGGTTTTTCACAAGCCAGGGGATACTGTGGCTAAAGGCACTGTGCTGGTTCATCTCAAGGAGGAGTAATGGGGGGAGGAGCTGCAGTATTGTTTCCTCTAAACTCTGTAGCCTTGAACGGACTAAAATCTAGTCACTTCAGGTTGCGACACAGTCACGTAAATGTTGATCTATGGCTGTGTCTGCAGTGACCTGTTTTCCTAAAGCATAGTAAATTCCACTGGTCCTATGTGCGTCTGTCAGCATTTAATAGGCCAGGAGATAAATATAGTAACAAAAAATGGGTTGAAGGGGGGGGGGGGGGTGTCCTTATGACCTTAGTGGCTTCTCAATGGCCATGTTGATATCACATTTTCCGAAAAGCATCAGTGATGCAGGGTCACAGCATGAGTCACCTGATGCATATTGATTTTTTTTTTTTTTTAGGTCCTATAGAATGTATAATAATTAGTGCTTCACTCTGGTCATGTTTGATTACTCCTTTAAATGTCTTTACATACATCAAAAACAAATATACAAATGTAGATGCGAAAACTTTTAAACAATTCATTAGTGACCTCTGTAATATAATTGGTTGTTTGGAGAATTTGGGGGAGGGGGGGGGGGGGGGGGGGGGGGGGGGGAGATTTCTCAAGTGTTCATAACCCTTTTTTTTTAAAGCATTCGCAACAAGGCAAAATGGTTACATTCACACCATATATTGCTCAGCACATGTTTACAGACTTACTGGACTCTAGAGGAGAGACAACCAAGTAGTGTAACAGTGACAAAGTGGTTAACTATTTCTATACCAACAGTTCTTACTTTAACACTATATATCCCAAGAAGTGAGAAACAGCTGGTCGAATGGGTTGTCCTGCGAGAGGGAGACCCAGATTCACATCCTCAATAAGGTTTTTAAGTTTATAGGCAAAACTTATGAATAGAAGCCGTAGTAATAAGATGGACCAGGAAGTTGAGCTTGAAAGAAAGAAATAGTTAGGCATGAAGGCGTTTAACAAAGATTCTGTTTAAATGAATAATTCAGATACAGATTGTGACAGAAGACAGAAAACACATTATCTTTGGAAACACCAAGCACCATATAGTGAGATCTTTAATACTTAAAGAGTTAAGCTGTTTGCTTTTATTAAAAAAATAAGTGTTTCCCAAATCTGATTGTTAAATGGGGCAATTCGAAAATGGACTTGTCCAAGGTTTAAATTACATTGGTAGCGTAAGAATTTTAGAAAGAAAAGGCTGGGGGGGGGGGGGGGGGGATGCACACACACGCACACACATGCGAGAGTTAGGAAATAGCTCTAAAGGTTGTGGATTTTGATTTAGGATTTAGGATTTTGTCCTTTGGTTTACAAGCTAGCAAAGTGGTTAACTGCTTGCTTCTGTGCTCTGAATTTTGTAAGTTCCATTTTAGACTTTTTTCCTTTGGTTGATGATCATATGTACTTTAGAGATAGCTGTGGATCATTTCTAGAACTTAGGGTTTTGGAAAACACTTTGATAGAAGAGTGTAAATTGTTCACCCCATCCAGGCTACTGCCTGAGTTTTAACCCCTTGCATGAGAATACCTCAGCCTGAATGGATCAACAGGACCTGAAAGTTTGACACCAAAAAACTAGAGAGTCTCAGTGCTGATAGCAGACCAATAGGGCAAGCCCAGATAACCTGTTCTCTTGCAAGAAATATATAATTATGGCACCCGTAAGGGCCACACCGGCCTGCTGTACTCCAGTCCTGTCATTATCATCAAAATCATAATTGACTGTAGGTGACCCCATGTGGGATGCAATTTTTCGTTATTTTAAGGCCCACCCTGGCTTTTGCCAGGTGCCCTAAGTATTGCTGGGCCTTAAATATGGCCAAATGGCTAAACGGGGTTTCCGGAACCTCTCCACGAGTGATCCTCATCTGCATGGTGGCACTTTGTGTCACCGGGTGTTTATTGCTAGTGTGATGTCCCGGTGGGTACAACTTACCTAGCTACCTATCAACATCATAAATCACTTCTGTCGCTAAGTGTCGTGGGGGAGGAAAAATTTGCGATCTAGTGCACTCTGGCTGCCACTGGCCATTGTCATGCCGTGAGTGTCTTTAATGTTGTCGATCCATATTTCGTTCTCTTGCTCTTGAAGCTAAACTTCTGAGGTGTAATGCTTGTTATGGTATTTGATCTTGCACTCTAACGAGGTGGTCAAACTATTTGATCTGCTGTTTCTCGACGAAGCTAATACAAGGTGTTCCAGTCATGAGCCGATAGAAATTCTCAGGGTACACATTTTTTTAAAATTGTCCTTTCCAGATTTGCATACTATAGGGTTCATATCTCAAGGATGGGATTCAGACAGCTACACATCATGGAAAATCTGTTCAGCCATATAGCACATTCAGATCCTGGAAAATCTGTTCAGCCATATAACACATTCAAATCATGGAAAATCTGTTCAGCCATATTAGCACATTCAAATCCTGGAAAATCTGTTTAGCCATATAGCACATTTATATTGGGCACCTAGAAAACAGTTAGGAAATGACTTGTAGTCCAGTGATGATGAGTTTAGTATTGGCAGGGCAAAAGAAACAGCCACATTGTGGATGGAGACTGAGCGTATGGATACTGATCCTCTTAACTGTACTCACTCTTTTTGAACTTTGACCTGGTCATGGAAATATCGAATTTAATATAATCTCTGGTATTAAAATCTTCATTTATATGTTTGCTATTTCATTGCCTACTATTATTTTGTGGGTTTCAGTGCCTCGTTTTGGAGGCAAAAAAGAATACTGGCCCCTAACAAGCTTGTCATAACAGCAGACTAATTTGGCTTGTTTGCTTCAAAGTCAAAGTGCAGCTGCCTGAGAGGCGAGCTACCAGCAGTCTGCATACAGATAAGCTAGATCTGTAAAACTGATGTGCATGCAAAGCTCAGATTATGAAGCAAGTCTAAAGTTCAAAATAGGACCAACAAACAGAACTTTCTGGCAGAGTTTACAGCTGGTGAACGCTAAGAAGGAGAAGAAGAAAACTGTTATTGTTACTGTGTTTGGGTTTTCGCAGTCACTATGGAGCTATGCTAATCTTCTTCTTCGCGTTCACCAGCTGTACACTCTGGCGGAAAGTTCTGGTTGCTCGTCCACTACTGAACTGCAGTCCTGCTCCAGAACCTGAGTGTTGCGTGTGCATCAGTTTTACAGATCTCATTCTCTTGAATACAGACTGTTGGTTCCTTGCCTCTCCGGCAGATGCACTCCGACTTCAAAGGAAGCTCCCCAATTAGTCGACTCTTACGACATGCTTTTGGGGAGGCAGTGGGTCTATTCTTGTTTTCCCCACAATGGGGCCCAGGAACCCACACGGGGGGGGCTATGCTAATTACCTCCGCTTCCTCCCCATGTGGGTTCCGGGGCCCTGTTTTGGAGAAAGCAAGAATAGACAAACTGCCTGCCCATAAACATGTCGTAAGAGTTGACTTCCTTCAAAGTCAGAGTACATCTGCCTGAGAGGCAAGGAACCAATAATCTGCATGCTAATGTGTCACACCTGTGAAACAGATGTGCATGCATCACTGCCACTTGGGAGCCAAGCATTATAACCGTTTGGCCAGCAGCTCCTCAAATGCAATGTTGTAAATTCTTGATCACACAAATGGATCTCTGACATGATTGTTATTAGACGTAGAGATAGTTAACAACGTTGTTTCTTTTCAACAAGTCAATAGATCTGTATTAGGTGACTAGCTGCTTCCATAACCAAACAGGCACTGGAATGGGAAACAGTGGATTAAAGTAACTCCTTATGTGGATTCTGTGGCCTCATATTTGGAGAAAGCAAAGAATAGGCCCACTGCCTCTTTTAGCATGTTGTAAAAGACAGTAAATTAATTAAAGTATTTTGTTGATATCAGATATATTGAGCTAAAAGGCGCAGATATTGAAGCCTAGCTGTAAAATCACAATACATTATAATTTATTACAAAATTAGGAACTCATATTGTGAACACCAAACATTTATTTGATATTTTATTAAATATTAAACACACTGGTATATTTAGACATCAAACAGAAAAAATGTGTATGACACTGTGTGGCAAGCTGTGTAATGGCAGCAGCGCCTGCTAGCTCAGTACCGGAACTTCCCTGTAGCTGCAGTCAACTCCAGCTTTCCCACCTCTGTGCTCCACGGTTGTCTCAGTATTTATCACATGTACTGGGAGGGCTGTCGGCGTCTATGGCGTAGGCATTTTGAACAGGCTTTGTAATGCTGGGGTGCCGAGTTCGATCCCAGCTGTGGGTCTTGCGTTGGTTTTGACAGTGGTATCAAGAAGCCGACCTCCCAGGAAGCAATGGCAAATGATTGGATGTAAATTTGCCTAGAAAAACCACAACAGCCAAAATGCTGGGGTTGGTTTTGCATCATCCTGTAAAGGATACGCAACTAATTAATAAAACTATGGGGGGGGGGGGGCTGAGTGGAGGTCTGAGTACCAGAGGTCTGAGTACTGGAGGTCTGGGTACCGGAGGTCTGGGTACCGGAGGTCTGAGTACCGGAGGTCTGGGTACTGGAGGTCTGAGTACTGGAGGTCTGGGTACCGGAGGTCTGGGTACCGGAGGTCTGAGTACCCGAGGTCTGAGTGCCGGAGGTCTGGGTACGGGCCCTGGTAAAGGCTGGAATTTTTGTCACGTGGACTTCTTGTAATATTCCCTGGTCTCTGGGTAGTAAGATCGGACGCCCATGTGTATTGTTGCGCATGTTAACAAATCCCTTGACAGTTAGAAATAGAAAAGATTAACCTAACGGCACTGGCCGGGTAAAATTCAGAGTTAAAAATCAATCTGGAGTATTTCAGGATCCTTGTTGGTGCTATGGAGTTTGTGCACTGTGCAGAGATTCTCAAGGCTCAGGCTGGAGTTAGATGTAGAATGGAGCACTTATGGGTTACTACCACTGTGACATGATGTTGATCTATTGTATAAACCATACATAAACAAATCCAAACTAATACACAAAAGTCACTTAACTGACATATTCCCACACCCTTTCCCTTCTTCCTGCGTCCAATTTTAAACTTAA